ACGCAAGTTTAAAATCATTCGATTGATTTAGCGTGTGTGAATTACTCCACTAACATCACAAAATGTCCATTTGAATTCTGCAGTCAGTGTCTTGTTTACGAGTGTAAGTTGTAACTGTGTTTACATGTGCACAGATATATCAGCACAAAACTGATGAGTGATGTAAGTAAAAAGTATTTACATGTTATGAATTTGATTGAGGGTAATTTCTGGTGGCCTTTATGTTGTAGATGTCAATATTGTCCCCTGTTTTTGCGAAAGCGTGGGAATTATGGAATTTCATTCATCTGTCAGTCCAACATTATAACCTTGCATACTCATAACTTTTGAATTAGAAGGGATAGCCTATAGGGATTTCACATGTACAATAGTGATTACCTGTGATAAGACATTTTTCAAGTATACTATAAATTTTGACCCAATGACCTTGAAATTTGACCTACTTTTAATATTAAAATACTTTAAATTAATGATGAATTTTGCAAGAGAAATTAGATAGGGCTTCCATATTACATATGTCTATTACTTGTGACAAAACTTTCCTAAATATATTATGCTTTTTGAGCGTATGACCTTGGCCGTAACATTTGACCTAATTTTTCAAAAATGTTATTCTAAGTAATTAGCCTATTAGAAGTAAGATGTTTCTGATCATCCTATGGATTTAAACACCTTGACCTCCATGTTTGACCTAAATTTCAAGAATTTTTACTTTCCATGTGATCACTTTGACATAAATTATGATTGGTTTTTCATATTTCAAACATTATATTATAAAATATGACATCCCAGTCACTAAGACACAGAGAGCAGGGAACCAGTGCATTATTCTTTGAATTGCTTTAAATTTTTTCTTTCCATTGCATTTTTTTCATCATTTGTTTTCCCACTTTGTTGACTCTGCTGCAATTTTTGAAATTCAGATTGAAATGATATCTCCAAACTTAACCAGTTTGCAAATCCAAAAGAAATCTAAAGAAAAAAAAATAAATGTGGTTTTAAAAATTAGCTAGCAGAAACTTTTCTTATTTATAACATTATAGTTCCAAGGGTTCCTGGGTTTCGGGTGGGTTCACAATGGGGGATCAACATAGGAATATATAATAAGTAAAAAAATCATTTTCTCAAGAACAACAAAGTTTTATTTAGCTATTAATTATGGATTCAGAAAGCATCCTCAGGATGTGTTAGATTTAAGTTTCTTCATTGATAAATCTTAATTGACTCTCGGGGATAAGAAAGGGTCACAATGGGGGAAAAATTTTTACAAATGAAGATGTAGAGATTTTTTTTTAATTTTCTGCTCAAGAGCACCAATTTAGCATTTTCTTATACATGTGTATTTATATGGAAGCTTCCTCAGGTAATCCCCTATAAACATGATAAACTTTTCAAGCTTTATGCTGAACTGATTTTCTTAGCTTAAGTTAGTGATGTGGTTCATGTGTTTCTTGTTAGCTCTCCTGAGCCATTAAAGGCTCAAAGAGCTACCAGTAATGCTATGATCATTTTTGCGGTGTGCTGTGTGGGTAAATGATTTAGAATATGGGCCATAACTCAAGAACCCCTTGGCTAATCATTGTCAATCATTATACAAAAACTTATGAGTTGTCATCCTTAAAGAATTGGAGATGATCAGATGGTAAATGAACCAAAAGTACCAGGTTGCTAAAAAACCTGTGACCTACTTTTTAAATTTTGCAGACATTTCATTTGTTTTAATGTTGTTTAAAGGGCATATATATATATATATATTTTTTTATACTTTTAGACCTATGATCATGAAACTTTGTCAGTTGATGCATCTTGGGTGTTCGGAAATCGTCCACCAAAAAGTAGGTCACAGTGACCTACTTTTCACAATTTATGGCTCTATTTAAGAATCTTGGGTACTTATTGGCTTAGAGTCCTCAAACATTGTCAGTTGATGCATCTAGGGTTCTCGGAGAATGTCGACCAAAAAGTAGGTCATGGTGACCTACTTTTCACTATATTAGGTATTTATTAACTTAGAATCATCAAACTTTTTCAGTTGATGCAACTTAGGTTTTCCGAGAATGTCGACCAAAAACTAGGTCACAGTAACCTACTTTTGAATATCTCAGGTACTTATTGGCTTAGAATCATCAAAACTTTGTCAGTTGATGCATCTTAAGTTTTCGAAGAATGTCATTCAAAAACTAGGTCATTGTGACCTACTTCTGACATTTTATGGCTATAATTAAGTATCTTGGTTACTTAATTGTCTAGAATTGTTAAACTTTGTCAGTTAATGCATTTTTGGTTTTCGAAGAATGTTGACCTAAAAGTAGGTCACAGTGACCTACTTTTTACTATATTAGGTACTTATTGACTTAGAATCATCAAAACTTTGTCAGTTGATGCATCTTGGGTTTTCAGAGAATGTCGGCCAAAAACTAGGTCAGAGTGACCTATTTATGACATTTTATTGCTATATCTAAGTATCTCGTATACTTTTTGGCTTAGAATCTTGAAACTTTGTCAGTTGATGCATCTTGGGTTTTCAGAGAATGCCGCTCAAAAACTAGGTCGTAGTGACCTACTTGTGACATTTAATGGCTATATTTAAGTATCTCAAGTACTTTTTTTGCTTAGAATCTTCAAACTTTGTCAGTTGATGCATCTTGGGTTTTCACAGAATGTCGACCAAAAACTAGGTCACAGTGACCTACTTTTGAATATCTCGGGTACTTATTGTCTTAGAATTATCAAACTTTGTCAGTTGATGCATCTTTGGTTTTCAAAGAATGTCGTTCAAAAACTAGGTCATGGTGACCTACTTCTGACATTTTATGGCTACAATTAAGTATCTTTGGTACTTAATTGTCTGGAATCGTTAAACTTTATCAGTTGATCATGCATTTTGGTTTTTCGAAGATTGTTGACCTAAAAGTAGGTCACAGTGACCTACTTTTTACTATATCAGGTACTTATTGGCTTAGAATCATCTAAACTTTGTCAGTTGATGCATCATGAGTTTTCAGAGAATGACATTCAAAAACTAGGTCATAGTGACCTACTTGTGACTTTTTATGTCTATATTTAAGTATCCCAGGTACTTTTTTGCTTAGAATCTCCAAACTTTGTCAGTTGACGCATCTTGGGTTTTCAGAGAATGCCTTTTAAAAACTAGGTCATAGTGACCTACTTGTGACATTTTATGGCTATATTTAAGTATCTTGGGTACTCTTTGGTTTAGAATCTTCAAACTCTGTCAGTTGATGCATCTTGGGTTTTGGGATAATGTCGACCAAAAAGTAGGTCATGATGACTTACTTTTGAATATCTAAGGTACTTATTGGCTTAGAATTATCAAACTTTGGCCATGATGACCTACTTTTAACATTTTATGGCTATATTTAAGTATCTCGGGTACTTTTTGGCTTAGAATCTTCAATCTCTGTCAGTTGATGCATCTTGGGTCATAGGATACTTAGCGTTAGAGGCTTCAAATAGAAGTGATAGATTGTACAATTTATCAGAAGCAATTCAAGGCCCTTGGGTCTCTTGTATTTTTTTTTAAACTAATAAGCAATGTTTGAATGAGATGATTGTTAATGAATTTCAAAAAAAGTATTTACTTCAGATAATATGCATATGAATATTGATTACTTAAAAATATTTGGATGCAACATTGTAGTGTTGTCAAATCGGTAGAAAATCAAAATCGATTAATCGGTAGCATCGGTTGACCCTTACCAACTGATCATCGGCCAATAATCGAATCGGTTACCCTTTGCATAAAATAGGCATTAGATTTTAAATAATTTAGAATTTTATTGTTAAATAATGTAAGTTAAGGTGCATTGTACAGATCGAAATTCTAAAAACAGTATATATGCAGTTTGATAAACAATTTCAGCAATACAGATTTTTGCATGATTAGGAGTTACTTGACCTGGAGAAAGTAAGCATTGACAGATCAGGCTTTAAATTACATGATCATCTAAAATGTATATGGAATTAATTTTTTAACTGTTATAAGACATTTAATATTGCAAATCCTCATAATTCCGAATGAAATGACAATTAGTGAATTCCCCCAAATACTGAAAACTAATATATTTCATTTATACAAGTACAGATGTACTTTAGTTTCTTCACTTTAGAAATACAAATATCATTATCTTTTGATTTATTTTAAACAAATTTTAAGTAAAAAAGACATGTGCTGAAATATACCGATTAATCGATTGTTCAAATCTCCAATCGATTGTCTAAAATCGACAGCCTTTCCGACCGATCATCGATTATAAATCGATCATCATGACAACACTACAACATTGATCAGTTACATATAGGATTAATCCCATATTTGAATATCTATGGGAGTAAATGTCCCACATATCATGTCCTATGGGATTTATCCCATATTTGACAATTCATGGGAGAAAATATCCCATTTGTTAGAGTCCATGGGATTTATCCCATTTGAACAAGTTTGTGGGAGAAAAAATCCTAATTGGAGAAAAAATCCCATCTGAGAATTTTTCTCCCATCTGACATTTTTTCTCCCATGGGAGAATGGTGGGATAGTTGGTGGGACTGAAAATCCCACCATTCTCCCATGGGATTCTGATATTTAGGACTTCATATCTTTTAAAGCAGAGATGTCTATGAGTTCAACATGAGAATATGTGATACTGCTAAGAAATCCCACCAGGTACTGTAAATTTTTTTTGGACATGACAATTAGAAATGGTAGTAAAAAGTCCGGACTATGTCGTGTCCGGAGTTAAATGTCGCACTGTTATAGAAAAGTCATCAGTTTTTAAACAGAAACTATCATCGAGCAACTAAAACATGTTTTATAAACGTCTTTCATGTAATTGATAAAAGCATTCAAATTGTGTTGCCCGACAAATTGTCGTTTTTGTGTGTTATTAAAACATTCAAAAAAATATTGAAGATCTATGCACAGGGTCACAAATTTAATTTCTAGATATTAGGTAATTGTATGTTTATAGAAAATAACATGCCTTGGAAAGGAACTGTAATGAAGAGGCACAAGTCAGAGGAGGACATGCTGAAAAACGTGAAAATGGAAATTACTACATAAATTTGGTAAGTGTCCGATGGAAACGTTAAAGTTAAATCGTTTGTCATAAAGCTTAGTTTTTTGTTTGCATTTATCATCTATATTTAGTAAAAAAAATCCAATTATTAAACAGATATGACAGATCTGTGGTGTCCTCCTTTTCATGTTCACTGATAATCATAAGAATGGACGTTACCATTGGTAACTGATAAAGCGTCGTCAATAAATTTTAAAGTCATATCGAAGGCCACAACGAGTGTATTTTTTGATCATGTAGAAGTTTAAATTCTACTGTATATGATAATAGAAACAGACAAGCTAATAAAGATGCACAATAAGTAACTTATTGATTTTCAACACTTTATTGGGAGACCTAGCTTGGAGATAATGAAAATATATTCAAATTACGTGATATTCAAGTTAAATTAATTTGCATTTGGTGTTTTTATTAAACAACGAAAATATATAGTTCTCGTATTCAAAATGTTTCATAGTAATACCTGTCTGATGCATTTAAACATATCTTTCTGCGACCAACTTGGCTTGCAAGAAATTCTACTCGAGCAGCCGTGATTTGCATTATGTCATTAATGAGTTCCCTCCTGTACTGAATGGTGACATTTTCCACTGTCTCCGATGTTATAGCGACACTGACGACTCCTCTGTTAATTTTTATTGAGAAACAAAAAGAAATTATTGCATATTTGCCTGATTTGTGCTCTTTTAAGTTTTTTTTATATAAAATACAACAGGCCCAAAACCTTTAACAGTCACCCAGTTTTAATACAGCGCTGAAAAATTAAAGGTCAGATAGAAGTATAAAACAAAGTTAACTTATAGATTATGTTAGGCTGACCAAGAATTTCAAAAATGTAGAGGGAAAATAAACTGCTTATTTTAATACGCAAGAACCCAGTGATATTTTTGGAGTAGTACTAGTTTTTCCCAAGATTTACAGAGATGATCATGAAATCAGTGGTAAATATACAAATACCAAAGACACTTGCCTAGTGTGTAAAGTATTCAATATACACAGATATGTTTTCTTACTTTTCTAATGCTACAATAAAGTACACAAGGAGAGGGTTAGTTGTACACTTAGATATTTGCCACTTGTCACTAATAACCTGGCATTCTGTGATCAGTTAATCAGTTTGACAAAGTATAAAACCATCTTGGGCATTCTCCTGCCATCTATACTCTCAATGAATTTATGCTAATAAATAATAATTTGTCAGCAACCAGGATACCTCATTAAACCCATTAATTAAATAACATTAATCAAGTTACAATGAAGTAAATACAAGGATTTTGATTAACAAATTTAAAGAAAGGGGGGTTAACTTTCTGTTGCTCCACTTTTTACAATTTTGTATTTCATTTGCTTCCCAGCTATATAGGAGCAGTTTTTTTTAAATATATAGTACTTTTTCACTTGAAAATAGTTCTGTTCTAAAAATTTAGAATCTAGAATTCTTGACCCTGTGGTCATGAATTTCCCAATTTTTGTAGAGGGTTCAATGCCTATAACACTTAATGTCCAGTAGTATGAAAATGATTTTCCAAAATAACAATTTTTTTATACAATTCAAATTAGTTGAAATTGAATCAATGGTCTAAGAAAGAAAGAAGCTGAATATGTTTAAAATTATTAATGTTAGCGCACAACGATAGACGAAAACAGATAACGAATATTGATTTGAGGTTTTTTCGTCTATCAAAGTCTACATATGAACAAATTTGGAACTAAATTTAAACTTAACAGAAGTGTTCCTTCCTGTTTAAAAATTGGGGAGGGGGGTCAATCAAAACAGAAAATAATGTTTTTATTAAATAAACTGTATATAAAATACACTAGTAATTAATAATTTACGAGGGAAAATTATTCATCTGGTAAAATATTGATAAAATTGTAAATCTTTTGAATATCTCATAAATGTAGAAAATAAAGTCCTCATAAACAATTTCAATAATGAAACATTAAGGATATAAAGTTTGCCTTAAGCAATTGTAGTCATTGATATTTACTCCTACATATAGGGTACATCAAGTAATGATCTCTATGAAACTTACTTGCTGTTTAAAGAGGATATAGAAACAGGAAATATACATGATGTGTCTTTTGTACATGTCAAATCAGTAGGGTACAGAAAGTATGGTTTCCCCTACAATAATGACGAAATTATATAAAATATTAACAGACATAATAAAAAAAATTAAAAGTATTTCTGATTTCAAGTAAGATAATATAAACTTACATTTGTCTATTTGATTAACTGTTTACAATAAATGTCTCTTATATATTAATTGCTGACTTCAAATTATTTTCTTAATGTTTTCGTACCAGTGTTTAACACTTCAAACTTACAGACATTGCTGATTCTTGACGTAATATGTTTTCTGGAAGAGAAAGATCCTTATGATCTTCACATATCATGAATTTCTAATCAAAGCATACTATGTTCATGATATTTAAATGTAATATTATATTGAGTATAAACATAATAACTCTAACAAATCAACATAAAACAATTCTAATCTCAGTAATGAAAAATGCATTAATTTTATTTCTGTTTCCAATGCTATTTCTGATATTTCACTTTGGAAGAATTAGTCAGCATTTATTTTAAAACAAGTAAAGCAGCATAAATAATCTAAATTATTTTATTTTAGCTGTTTTATATTCTAAAACAAACTTTCCTTGTTAAGTAGCATCTCAGTGTCAGAATTATCAGAAATTAATTAATGATTACTTCCCTTGCTTGAGCTACGGACCTTTAACTTCTATCCGGAAGCACACCAAATTCACGGTGTTTCTCCTGTTTAAAATAATTTTTAATAACATTTCACACCTGTTCTGCTTTTTTTAAATGACCATACTAAAACTGCAAAATTTGAATAATAATCTCGATGTATGTCAATCAAACCTAAACTTTTCAGAAAAGCGTGGTCAGAATCGCATAGTCAGAATCGCATATCAAAATGTCTCTTTATAATTTATAATCTCTTTGGAAAGCGATAGTTACCCTTGATCATCTTCAGCATTTACACAAATGATATGATAGCCAATGTCATCGTCTGACGGTGACCATGTGATTGTTGTTGACACAGCGTTAGCACTGATGTGGGAGGCGTCATTTATTCCTGTATGATTTACGTATCTCCAGTTATGTCGTAGAAAGTCAAATCTTACTATATTCCTACAATGAAATGCATTGTACATATAAAACGTTGTCCTACGCTACAATTGGAAACCTTTAACGAAATAGAAATTATTGTTTACTGTCCAGCTCATATGTGTTTATAAAGTTTTCATTCAGCATTTTGATTAAAAAATGTTATTCATGAATGAATATTCATGCACATAAGCTAAAACTACTAGAGTAGAAAGTAGAATAAAACTTGATTTTAAGATTTGTATTTTTAATCTGTTTTGATAAATAACTTCATTTACAAAGTTAATAAGTAAACATTTAAGCAGTTTAAGATTATGATTGCTTGAAGAATATTTCAATGAAACTTTTAGTTGAAAATAAAATTTGAGGATAATTTCTCTCAAAGTTTGAGAAAGGGTGACCTTAGTACAAAAACGTTTACTATGAAACATACGGAGAAAACGAACAATTTTCAAGATCAAAAGTCCATAAAACAATACAAAGTAAGAGCAGAGCAAACACGGACCTCCAAAACATCAGAGGTGAGATCACGTGCCATGGAGGAGAACGAGATTCCCACTGTCCCTATCTCCTATCTAGCGAAACCATAACCAGGGGAACGGGGCTGGTAAAATCAGCAACAAAAGAGCAGTTTGTCTCAATTGCAGGAATGATGAATACCTTCAGACTTTTTTCAAAGTCGGAGGTTCCCCAGATTTAACCGACTTAATTCGAAGTAAACACTGTTTGTCTGTTCTTCATCATCTAATGATATTCGTATATTTGTATATACATTGTACATGCATGTACTTGTTTTTGTCAAAGAAGATTAACAGACAAACAGAAATCTATTCACTGCATTACGCGGGTGACATGTTAGATTTGAAAGTAAGAGAAGCGACTGTAAACGAGGCAAAAACTGGTGTAAGGATATCCTTCATTTATATTTTCTCAACTTTATCCTCTTTCGCATTTAAAAGTGGCTTGTTATCCATGTTAAAGTTCAAAAAAGTTTTTTTTTTTGTTATAAGACAGAAATTCTCCAGGAAAAAAATCCGGAAATGTTACCTTCCAGGTGCAGCTTTGGCGTAGACCTTGATTTGTACATCACCTCCACAATAAACAGTGTATCCATGTGATGGAGTGGGTGGTATGAATTCTGGAGGATCCGTTCTTCCAGTAATGTTGATAATCATCTACAGGAAGATAGGCTTAAATTTTGTATCAAAATATTCCAGAATTTTTTCATTCCATTAAATATATCCTCCTAGTGTAAAAATCGAGTGTTGTTCATTAAATGTACCTTTACAACAACTCCTGACAATGAGTAACCGTATGAATTCTGAAGGCTGTCTTTCCCTGAACTCATTGTGTGAAGCAAAATAGGATGCCTGTTGTAATCTTCTAATGTTATTGCAACAGGAAATGTATCCCCTTCATGAAAATAGCTTGGATCGACTGTGATATTCACAACACATTTCTGTGAAAAAATAACACAAAGTAGTCATTTTTCATGTCAACTATTCAGTGCTAAGAGACACTGAATTTCTCTATGAAGAACAATCATATGCACTTGTGCTTTAAAAAAGACACCAGTTTCTTCATATTTTTATAACTACCGATGAATAAATTGCTTCAGTTTGAAAGAAATAAACATTTTACAAATAGGAAATATTTATTTAAAAATGAATGAAATAGGTTTTACGAATTATATTTTCGTGAATCGTGTCAATACATTGAGAGAAGAGGCCCTTTTTATCGACTTCAGCAGTTATTTAATTTTTGTGATTTTTATTGATTAACACAGAAATAGTGAAGACATATTTTTCCACCCTCATAATTCTAACGGTTCAAAGTAAAAAACTGCATTTATTTTCATTTGATATAGTTTAAATTTACCAATTAGTGCAAAAAATGTTTCGGTCGCCATATTATTTAAGGTGGGGGACATGAATAAACATATGTTTATGTCGACAGAAAAAAAATCGTACATTTGTTGAAATTAGTATTATAAAAATTATATAAAAACTTCTTCAAATTCATAATTCTGATGCTGAAAGTTCCACATAACTTCTACTTATCAGATATTTATAAATTGTGTTTATCTGGGAAACTATTCAAACTGCATTAGAAGTGCAAAACAGAAAATGCCTAAGAAGGAGTTATCGCCCTTTTCAACATTTTTTGAAGATTGAATAATTGATTAAATGAAGAAAATATACATTTTTTAAATTCTTTAATTTAACAATATTTATTATTACAACTATTGAGAAGCATTCTTCCACAAGATATTGTTCTATTTGGTATAATTTTAAATTAATAACAGTTTTCGCAAAAACCTATGACATCATGGGAGGTTGGAAAGACATGAAGTGTCATCAGAATGTATTTGTTCTTGTATATATAAAGAATAAAGAAAAAATCATCAACAGTGTTCAATCAATAATCCAGCCGAGTCACTAACTTGTCATTTTTATGTATAAAACATTCAAATGAATCTAAATGGTTTTTAAATGAAGTATTTCTTAAACTGGTTTCAGTCGTCAGGTAGGGATTATGATTATTCAAGCTCCGTTTCATGATTCTCATTCAATGATTAGGTTCTGTTCTGTTTCTAAACTATGTATTTGTACATTAATAGATCAATTCGCATTTTTTATACAATTTGATCGATGCAGTTGCTAAGAAAACAATATATATGTATTTTAAATCACAGTTGAAACTGTACATACCCTTCGATCAACAAAGAGGAAACCCCTTTTCATTAACGTTGACATAAATGGTCCAATCTCGAATGCCTCGACAAACCTTGATTCTCTACACAGAACTAAATCACCATCTTCATCAACTGATTCGATGTGGATTTTGTAATTCTTTCCTCGCTCTAAACTAAAATATCAACAGCATCATCAACATCATTATCGTCAACCATGTATTTATCCAAGATGACGCATGTAAAAGAGATAAAGGACATTAAGTCGTTTCCTATGTAGTTCTGAATCGAGAATCATAAATATTATAAAGGAAAAATTAAGAAATGGAAATTGTAAGGAAAAGAAGTATTCATATTAGTACCGATGCTTGCCAATTACATGTGGGGATGTTCTGGAAAGTTGATTTGTTTTTGTTTTTGCTTTTTTTTTTTTTTTTGGTTAAATTTTGTAATAATGAAGGGGTGAGGAAAACGATCGGGGATCGATCTCAAACTATACAGATCACGAACCCCTGAATATTCCGGTGGGATCAGGTGTCTGAGACGAGTAACCATTCCCTGTCGACGGTCAAACCCGCTGCAAGCCCTATGTACATGTATTAATCAGGTAAACGGGATACCTCTTGTCCAAAATTAGTATTAATTGTGAAATCAGTCAAAATATGGCTTAATGATGGTTTATGTTTACTTTCAAAGTCATTATAACGATAACATATTTACCAAATGCTGAATTTAAACAATGTTGTTGAAATCCTCGTAACATCAAATATTTACATTTTAATGTCTTTGTCCGAGATAAAATTACAGAGAGTTAATGTACTTTATTTCTTCATAAAATGCACTGGTTCATCGATAGGAGCGGTGAGGAATAATCACGTGCGGGCGGGACAAATGTAAAGACAGACAAGGGGTTTCGAGCACGTGGATCGACGGAATCAAGAGCATGTGAATATAAGGAACAACTGTCTATTTTTTTTTTTATTTCATGTGAAAAATCGATTAGCTTGTGTGATAATTTCATGCATAAAGGCCTTCGGCATTCATGCAAATTATCACGCATGCCAATCGATTGATCACATCATGAAATTAAAAAAAAAATAGTTATTCATTAAATATACGTGTTGATTCACATTGATATATACTCTGTACATATCTTTATCTTATATGTACTTACTTTATAAGCAGTCGGTGTACAAAATATATGATATATACAAATTTTAAGTGTGCTTCCTTGGCGCAATTCAGGTAAAAGTCTCTCTTCATACCTGTACAAAGGTTTCACTAGAACCCTAGGACTTCTGTTGGCTTTGCCTGTGTCACTTCTTACTTGAGGGTACGATTTAACTTGAAGATGAATTGTAGATATCTCTGGCAGTAATGTCAGACTGGTATCAATCGTGTCAGAAAACCTGTAAAATAATTCATCAAGTCAAATGCTGACTGATGTACGAGTACTTACTGCTTGGCAATTATTTACACTCTGAATTGTCGACGGATTTTTCCGTTACTTCCCAATCATGACAATGAGCACACGGCGGGTTTGACCGGTCGGCAGGGGATGCTCACTCCTCCATGACATCTGGCCCCCCTCTGATGTTTTGGAGGTCAGTGCTTGCTTTGCTCCTATTTGTATTGTTAAATGGACTTTTGAACTTGAATAAGGTTCGTTATCTTTGTATATTTCAATTCAAAAATCTACATTTTATAAAAAAGAGAAAAAGGTAATTCTTTTTTAAAAAAAGAATTGAAATACAGCGCTGATAAACAGTAAAAAAAATAATAACCTACTCCGAACTACTTATTAAATTTTGTTGCAATGAAATATAAAGGTAGATTCTATTATATCTTGATATTGAAGCCAATTGTAATACATTTATATAACAATATTTTCTGTGTTTTGACACACGATTCACATTCGGATTCAATTATTGAACATAATATTCAAAATAGGGCGTGCAAAATGAACATGTTGAAGATAAAGACCAATGACCAATCAAAAACAAAACTAAAAACCACAAAATATCAATCTGTGAACATGGCTTTAAAACAAGGACCACCGGAAATCCCAGACGTGGGATCAGGTGCCTCGGAGGAGTGAGCATCCGTAATGAGCCCAATGTATAGATCAGGTAGGCCTAGTCGACACATTCCGTAATAAAGATTTGATTTAACTATTGGTATGAAACACATAAGTAAACAATAAACATTATCATGTAGACTTTTCCATAGCAAAAATTAATTCAAAATTAATGACACACACACATGTAATTATAATACTGTAGAAGTACTTTTTTCCGCGTGGTATTAATTTACGCTATGTCTGCGGACACAAACTTTCCGCGGAAATATGTCCTAGCGTACTTAATATAAATGTATGGCATATAGTGACAGTCTAAGAAATCCGCGTAATTTTCTACCCGCGGATTAAACAGAAATTTAGATTCCGCGAAATTATGACCCCGTGGAAAAAAGTACGTCTATAGTAGCTTGAAATACGTAAGACACAATACGATCCAAGGATAAGTTGCATTTTACAAACAAGGTCATTATTACGACCATAGAAAAAAACTTAATTAAATCAATAAAATCCTTGCAATATAAACTCATAAAAAGAACAAAATCTTACATAATATCCACGTATCTTATATCTGTATACTGCGTTGTTGATATTTCAAATGAGAACTCAGTTCCATCTAATTCCCATTCCTCTTTTTCGCTTACAGCGAGCATGACATCTTTTTCAGTGCGCCTTATCACATTATTTTTATCAAGATCCACTCGCTGATAATGAGCATATTGCATTTCTATTGTCCATTTTCCAAATATTGCAGGATTGCTGCTATTGTTTATGACTTGTTTTTTAATGTCCGTTATATTCGATCCCACATCTAGAGTTGTGCACATCCGACATGGACCTTTTCCTGTCCTCCATCCATTAAGAAAGAAAGCTTTGACCTGAAAACATTTAAAATTTTCAATATCGACCTTAAAGTTACACGTGCATCTATATTAAAAAATATTTTCATTACTTCTTGATGAATATGATAACAACATGAATAAAGTGGTTTTGTCAGTCCAAGTAGTGTTTTTTAAAAGTAGCTCAATCTCCAAGGTCAAGGTCAAAGGGTCAAAGTTGTTGCTATCCAATGAAAGGTCTTGTCACACATAATACTATTGTGAAGTAAGAAAGTCCTCCATGTAGCTCCAATCGTTTTAAAGTTATGGCCAAAGTAAAAGCTGGGAATTTTGGTGTAAAAGTGTGTCAACCTCCAAGGTCAAGAAAAAGACGTCAAATTTGGTGATACCCAAAGAAAGGTCTTGTCACAAGGAATACACCTGTGAAATATAAAAGAAATAGCTCCACCCAGTCAAAAGTTACGGACAAGGTTAAAGTTTTTGAAGACAAACAGAAAGACAGACAGCTAGACAGACAGACGGACGGACACGACAAAAACAATATAGCCCCCCAATCTTCGTTTACGGGGGCATAAAAATATATATTAATCAATTCTTGGTGAATATGATAACAACATGAATAAAGTGATTTTGAAAGCATACGTCGCTTATTTCTCACCTTTATATGACCGGGAGACCCTTTGGTAATATAGGCACTGATGCTTCCACCATAAAGTGCAGACACATGCTGAACCAAGACACCCATCGTAAGAACAGAGAACGCTAGCTTCATTCTGAGGATTATCTAGTACCTATACGTAAACATTTAAAGTCTTACAGATATTTTTTAATCAGAATAAAATTGTATGCATAAAATATATAGCATACTGACACATTTTATAACACTCAAAATGAAGTTTGTCGCTCTCTCAGTCTGTTATAATTATTGTAAATATTAAATCTATCACTGATTCTTAAGGATATTTTTTTATATAAAAGATTTTTCATATATGATATAATAATTTAATTTTAGTTGTAACACGTAATTTGATTGGATAAAAAAATGTTTTATATTGTATATACGTTGTTTTATTATACCTCATTATAATTATTTTACACAACGCGTTACCTGATTGGTTCTAGATTATCACGTGACCGGGCCATAAAACTTCATATTTCCCGGTCGTCGGCATGCTTTTCATCATATTCCACCTCTTCGGATACCTAATGTATTTTCCCGCAATATAGTTATCGTTCGTTAAAAGAAAACTCCCGAGAGTAGTCAACGTCACAATAGACTGGTTTACGTCACAAATTGCTGATTAGAAATGAGTAACTTTGACGTTAAAAATGAAAGTGAATTTAAGAGCGGAGCCGAATCTGAAAGTTTATTTTCATTTCAAAGTGTTTGCTTGTTTCGGTATAATAAACAATTCATTGCATGAATGTTCGGGAAACTTGAATACTTATTCAGCCAAGAAAAATCATATTCCCCGAGGGCCGCATACTAAAAACAGATAAGTTGACGTTTTAGGGATTTCAACAACAAAAAAAGTCATCATTTCGTAAATTCTAAAATTAGTATAATTATGATCTTAGCAAATACTATCTTTAATTTGGTTGTCTTTTGTCTTACATATTTTTTTATACAATTGTAAGTTCTTTGTTTACTACGTAATTTTCCGTCTATCTGACCAATATGTAGGCTTACGGTCGGTGTGACCGGTCAACAGGGGACGCTTACTCCTCCTAGGCAACTGAACCCACCTCAGAAATTCCCGTGGTCCGTGTGTTATGCACTTCTTACAGATCTGTATGTATGGAGTTTTCCCGTGGTCCGTGTGTTATGCACTGTTTACAGATCTGTGTGTATGGAGTTTTCCCGTGGTCCGTGTGTTATGCACTGTTTACAGATCTGTTTGTATGGAGTTTTTCCGTGGTCCGTGTGTTCTACACTGTTTACAGATCTTTTCCCGTGGTCTGTGTGTTATGCACTGTTTACATATCTGTATGTATGGATTTTTCCCGTGGTCCGTGTGTTATGCTCTGTTTACAGATCTGTAAGTATGGAGTTTTCCCGTGGTCCGTGTGTTATACACTGTTTACAGATCTGTATGTATGGAGTTTTCCCGTGGTCCGTGTGTTATACACTGTTTACAGATCTGTATGTATGGAGTTTTCCCGTGGTCCGTGTGTTATGCACTGGTCCGTGTGTTATGCACTGCTTACAGATCTGTGTGTATGGAGTTTTCCCGTGGTCCGTGTGTTATGCACTGTTTACAGATCTGTTTGTATGGAGTTTTTCCGTGGTCCGTGTGTTCTACACTGTTTACAGATCTTTTCCCGTGGTCTGTGTGTTATGCACTGTTTACATATCTGTATGTATGGATTTTTCCCGTGGTCCGTGTGTTATGCTCTGTTTACAGATCTGTAAGTATGGAGTTTTCCCGTGGTCCGTGTGTCATACACTGTTTACAGATCTGTATGTATGGAGTTTTCCCGTGGTCCGTGTGTTATACACTGTTTACAGATCTGTATGTATGGAGTTTTCCCGTGGTCCGTGTGTTATGCACTGTTTACAGATCTGTATGTATGGAGTTTTCCCGTGGTCCGTGTGTTATGCACTGTTTACAGATCTGTATGTATGGAGTTTTCCCGTGGTCCGTGTGTTATGCACTGTTTACAGATTTGTGTGTATGGAGTTTTCCCGTGGTCCGTTTGTTACGCACTGTTTACAGATCTGTGTGTATGGAGTTTTCCCGTGGTCCGTGTGTTATGCACTGTTTACAGATCTGTGTGTATGGAGTTTTCCCGTGGTCCGTGTGTTATGCACTGTTTACAGATCTGTATGTATGGAGTTTTCCCGTGGTCCGTGTGTTATACACTGTTTACAGATCTGTATGTATGGAGTTTTCTTGTAGATCGATCAATGGTCGTCATATTCACTTTTTTTCATAAAGGAGTTTAGATTCTGACCTTTTGAATAATTTTTTCTCTGTATCCATAGATTGAATTATTTTAATCATATTTTTCTTTCATACAATATATTTGAATTCTATAATGTCATTTGAACTATATATCTAATTTAAAACCTATGTTGAAATTCCATAAATCATTTAGTAAGGAACATCTATATTTTGTGAGATAGATTATGTATAAGTATAGAATTGTTCTACTTCAAGGAACAGAACGATAAAGTCTGGATTCCTATATTTCCAGGCAGACTACACATAACGTTATTTTTGAAGCGAGATAATTGTTGGCGATCCTGTGACAGAAATAGCAACTATATAATGTGATATACGTAACAAAAAATATTAAGACTGTTGAATGCAAGATCCAATTTCCTTAAGATTTTGTTTTAATGTTATTTGGCATGTATTTTCAAAACACATGTTATCGTAACGATAATTTTTAAATCAAATACATCTTAAGAAAATATTTATATGCATATTAACAACACATATTCAGGTGAAAAGGTATCGTCAGTTATTCAGGTTTGCAGATAAAGATTCGCTAAGTGTTTCTATGGCAGCCATTGGCAGGCCTTTTTACTATTTATTCATAAAATAAAAAATTTCTTTTAATAAGAAGATAACTCTTTAGTTTACAGAGATATCTCTTTGATTAATAGAGATATTTTTATACCTTAGAGAGATACCTCTTTAAACAAAAGATATATCTCTCTAAACAAAAGAGATATCTTTTTGAACAAAAGAGATATCTCTTTTTGTAAGAGAGATATCTGTTTTACTTAGAGAGATATCTCTTTAAACGAGAGAGATATCTCTTTAAACGAGAGATATTTCTTTAACAAGGTTTAAAAAGATATCTTTCTTAGTTAGAGAGATATCTCTTTAGATTTGCAAAAAGAGATATCTTTCTAAGCTATTTTTAAAGAGATATCTCTTTTCATGAAAGAGATATCTCTTTTCCACTGATCCTTGAAATAAAATAATAGGTTCTCCACTTCAAAACGAAAGTGAAACAGGAAGTTATCAAAGTCTCTTGAATAGTTTTGCTGTTATAAGAAGAAGACTGAGCATGCAATACCCAGAATAATATATGTACTATGTAGACAAAAATGTTTTAAATCCTTTGTAAGAAACAATAAATGATAATGGCAACTTCGTTGATCAAATGCTAAAAGTTTAATATAAAGGAAAACAAAAGTAAGCATATTTATATAATCTCAAATGCAATGGACCGAATTTTCTCAATTTATGAAATAATCGACTATTATGAATATGAAATCTAGACAACACTGAATTATTTGTCATGTTTAGTAAAGCTATAATGTAGAATATAGGAATATGTCAAAATTCAAAAATACTTTAATGTACTTCCGTGAATAAAAGGCTTACTTCCGGTAGAGGAGAAGTCATTTAAATACAAGAGGCCCAGGGGCCACAGCGCTCACCTGAGCACATCAGGCTTGAATTTACTCCCACCCCCCCCACCCCCCTCCAGGCGTTCATCATTTGAACAAACTAGAATCTACACTACCTGAGAATGATTCCATATAAATATCACTAATCATAGCTTTGAATTACTTGTAAAGAAGATTTTAAAAGGTTTCCCTATATATCCCTAAGTAAAACTTGGGTCGGCCATTTTGGCCCCACCCTAGCCCCAGGGGTCATGATTTGAAAAAACTTAAATCTGCACTACCTGAGGATGATTCCACATGAGTTTTATCTTTCCTGGCCCAGTGGTTCTGGAGAAGAAGATTTTTAAAGATTTTTCCTATATATTCCCATGTAAAACTTGGGTTGGCCATTTTGGCCCCACCCTTGCCCCAGGGGTCATGATTTGAACAAACTTGTATCTACACTACCTGAGGAGGATTCCACATGAGTTTCATCTTTCCTGGCCCAGTGGTTCTGGAGAAGAAGATTTTTTAAAGATTTTTCCTATATATTCCTTTGTAAAACTAGGGTTGGCCATTTTGGCCCCACCCTAGCCCCGGGGGTCATGATTTGAACAAACTTGTATCTACACTACCTGAGGATGATTCCACGTGAGTTTCATCTTTCCTGGGTTAGTGGTTCTGGAGAAGAAGATTTTTAAAGATTTTTCCTATATATTCCTATGTAAAATGGCCATTTTGGCCCCACCCTTGCCCCGGGGGTCATGATTTGAACAAACTTGAATCTGCACTACCTGAGAATGATTCCACATGATTTTTATCTTTCCTGGCCCAGTGGTTCTGGAGAAGAAGATTTTTAAAGATTTTTCCTATACATGTATATTCCTATGTAAAACTTGGGTCGGCCATTTTGGCCCCACCCTTGCCCCAGGGGTCATGATTTGAACAAACTTGAATCTACACTACCTGAGGATGATTCCACATGAGTTTCATCTTTCCTGTCCTAGTGGTTCTGGAGAAGAAGATTTTTAAAGATTTTTCCTATATATTCCTATGTAAAACTAGGGTCGGCCATTTTGGCCCCACCCTTGCCCCAGGGGTCATGATTTGAACAAACTAGAATCTACACTACCTGAGGAGGATTCCACATGAGTTTCATCTTTCCTGGCCCAGTGGTTCTGGAGAAGAAGATTTTTAAAGATTTTTCCTATATATTTCTATGTAAAACTTGGGTCGGCCATTTTGGCCCCACCCTTGCCCCGGGGGTCATGATTTGAACAAACTTTCCACACTTGAGGATGATTCCACATGAGTTTCATCTTTCCTGGCCCAGTGGTTATAGAGAAGAAGATTTTTAAAGATTTTTCATATATTATCCTATGTAAAACTTGGGTCGGCCATTTTGGCCCCACCCTTGCCCCGGGGGTCATGATTTGAACAAACTTGAATCCACACTACCTGAGGATGATTCCACATGAGTTTCATCTTTCCTGGCCCAGCGGTTCTGGAGAAGAAGATTTTTTAAAAATGCCATTAATTTTTAACAAATTCATGATTATCTCCCCTTGGAAAAGGGTGTGGCCTTTCATTTGAACAAACTTGAATCCCCTTTACCCAAGGATACTTTGTGCCAAGTTTGGTTGAAATTGGCCCAGTTTTTCTTGAGAAGAAGATGAAAATTTGAAAAGTTTACGACGACAACGACAACAACAACAACGACAACGACAACGACGACAGACAACGGACAAATTTTGATCAGAAAAGCTCACTTGAGCCTTCGGCTCAGGTGAGCTAATAAATAATGAAGAGATATATTTCTTTGCAAAAAAGAGATATCTCTTTTTGCTTGAAAGATTTTTTATACACCTTTGAAAGATATCTCTTTCATTTTAAGAGATATCTCTTGAGATAAACTAAGAGAGATATCTTTAATACTTTTAAGGAATGAGTCTAATTCTTTACCAAATTATTCGATTATAACCTGCTTTGGGTTTAAACCTGACCCAAACCAGGTTAAAATCGAATAATTTGGCCAAGAATTAGAGTCATTCCTTATAATTTAATTTCAAAATAATTAATCAAATGTGAGTGTAAAATTGTGCTGTTTTTTATGAGTTCAGATTTGCCGCTTAATAATTCATTCCTAGTAACGGAAGTAATGTGAAACAAGGGGAGGTAATAACTGATACACAGATTCTAGAAGCCATGATGTTTGTTTACATGAGGTAAGATCGAGCTACTGTTTGAGGTTAAAGGTACATTTATTAAATCTGGAATTTTCCATGAATTCCAAGGACTGGAAATGAGGGGATTGCATGGATACAGATGATTCAGCTGGTTGTCAAGGGGGTGTGTCCCCATACCAAACCAGGTTATTGAGAAATAATTTGCGTTCCTTTCTGGAAATCAAAAAATGAGAGACTAGAATACAAACAAAATTAAAATATTAAGAGATATCTCTTTATCTTGGAAAGATATCTCCAAAAATAAAAGAGATATCTCTCTAGGTGAAAGAGATATTTCTTTAACGTTTAGAGATATTTCTTTAAACGAAAGAGATCGATATCTCTCAAGGAGAAAGTGATAAATATCTGTTCAAGTGGAAGAGATATATCTCTTATCAAAAGAGACATCTCTAAATTTAGGAGATATTTCTTTCTCAATAGATATCTCTTCAAGATGGGAGATATCTATATTTTTAAGAGATATCTCTCTAAATTGAGAGATATCTCTGTAATTTTCCGATAAATTTTATTTTCCGAATAAATAGCAAAAGTGCTTGCCATATGTTTCCTTTCCCAAAACAATTACATGAATATTCTTTTAAGAAATCAAATTTTAATTCAAATTTCGGGATTATACATTTGTAGTAGCATTTTAAGAAAATAACAGTGATGTATTTCTATACAACAAATAGGTATTATACTTACCCGGGTGCGCTAGTTCTCAACGCGTATACTAGATAGCAGCTATTTAAATAGGTTACTTAGAACTATATCTTCCATGCGATGTCCTTATTTTTTCTCCTTTAATCTAGGTAGATTTGTCTATATCTACTAACGGAGAGGTGTCAGTTTTTATCTTATATTTAGTAATGTACGTTTATATAATCCAGAAATTTCCAGATGAGCATTGCAATCAAAAGTTGTTAATAAAAAGGCGTTCTTTTTCAAAATAAACGGTTATTTTCCAGGGAAAAAAGTCGTATTAAAAAATGTTCAGTAGTTGAATTCTATTTTTGTCTATTTTTTTAAAAATTGCATTTCGAACTAAAATTTATAATTTGCAACTTTCAAATGGTCAAACACAGCATTTAGTCTGTCAAAGCACCGATGTTTGCGTAAAAGGAGATGGGTGAACATGACCAGAGATAAGTCCATAGCGTGACAAACATGAAGGTGAAAAATTAAATCTCAATTTTATCAAAATTTTCCTTAATATTTCACATAACATTAGAGTATACTTTATGTAAAATCTCTACAACTTGCACAAATCTCATGAAAATTGAAGTTATTTGCCTATGAAATATTATACACACACGAAAGAGGACAAAACGAGTCATTTTTTCACACTATAGCACTATTTTTCGATATGAGCGGGTCTTCTCTCCATTTTTTTTGAAAGGTAACCCTCAAAGTTGGCATAAAAACATACATATTTTGGTTTCCAAAATTATGGAGCAATGACCCACTATACCTTAAAAATATAAGTTTATGACATAACTTTCGTATCTTTTCGAGAAATACTTGAAGTCCCTTAAGTCAATGGTCATATCACAAACATGATTTAAATGCCACACTTCATCAGGACTTGTGTAGCGTAGTGGTTAGCGTGCTAGTCTCAATAGAGAATGCAACTCAGGATTTTTATTGCCAGGGTTCGAACCCAATGGATACTAGTACCACATTATTTTTCTTTATAAAAGAATAAATTTTAACGAAAAATTTTCCTCAAAACTTTTTGTTTATCATGATTTTACAAAAATCAGTAATGAGAACTTCACTCTAAATACTATAAAATCACAATTTGAATATGATTTTTATATATCTGAAGCTTGTGGGTTTTTTGCACGTTAAGTTCACCCATCTCCTTTGGTGTAGAAGTCCTTTAGGGCAAGCCTGTCCTAAAAATTTAATTATGAAGTATATATATTTGATTTATTTTGATCTCAGGAATATTCTTTTTTACATTCCGGGACAAGATAATTTTTTTCTTTTTTTCCCTCTTATCCCTTCAACAAAAATGTTAAAATTTTCCTGAGAAAAGATTTTCCCACCTACCTACCGACCTACCGGACCAATTACAACTTTATTTTATGAATTTACCCTAAAAATTCTAATAATTGGATTTTAAGTGACAAAAAATTGTTTAGATTTTTTAAGGATGGTTGCAGATAAGTACAATTATGATCATCGAAAAAGTTTGCAAATTTTTAATACCTTTTCTTCTAGGAATTTGTTATTTTTATCATTTGCAAAATAGATTTAGAAACATCTACCAATTGAGGCATTAATTTTTGTTTGTTTGTGTCATCTATCCTTAAACAAAAAAAAAGAAAAAAAATTTTAAAAGCCATAAAATTTCAAAAGTAGGTCATGGTGACCTGTTTATCAGTTGACGATCTCCGAGGATCCAACATACTTTGTCTGATAAAGTTTGATGATCCTAAGCCAATTAGATTTAAAACCTCTTTTCAGTTAATGTTCTCTGAGGAAAATACATTCACTGAAACGTTTGAAGATCATCGCCCTTTAAGTGTCCCATATATGCTTCTGAAACAAGTTGAAAAATAATGCCTGCAAAATTCAAAAACAAGAGGCCCAGGGGCCACAGCGCTCACCTGAGCACATCGGGCTTGAATTTATCCCCCCCCCCTCCAGGCGTTCATCATTTGAACAAATTAGAATCTACACTACCTGAGGATGATTCCATATAAATATCACTAATCATAGCTTTGAAGTACTTGAAAAGAAGATTTTAAAAGGTTTCCCTATATATCCCTATGTAAAACTTGGGTCGGCCATTTTGGCCCCACCCTAGCCCCGGGGGTCATGATTTGAACAAACTTGAATCTACACTACCTGAGGATGATTCCACATGAGTTTCATCTTTCCTGGCCCAGTGGTTCTCGAGAAGAAGATTTTTAAAGATTTTCCTAATATATATTCCTATGTAAAACTTGATTCCACATTAGTTTCATCTTTCCTGGCCCAGTGGTTCTGGAGAAGAAGATTTTTAAAGATTTTTCCTATATATTCCTATCGGCCATTTTGGCCCCACCCTTGCCCCAGGGGTCATGATTTGAACAAACTTGAATCTACACTACCTGAGGATGATTCCACATGAGTTTCATCTTTCCTGGCCCAGTGGTTCTCGAGAAGAAGATTTTTAAAGATTTTTCATATATATTTCTATGTAAAACTTGGGTCGGCCATTTTGGCCCCACCCTTGCCCCGGGGGTCATGATTTGAACAAACTTGAATCTACACTACCTGAGGATGATTCCACATTAGTTTCATCTTTCCTGGCCCAGTGGTTCTGGAGAAGAAGATTTTTAAAGATTTTTCCTATATATTCCTATGTAAAACTTGGGTCGGCCATTTTGGCCCCACCCTTGCCCCAGGGGTCATGATTTGAACAAACTTGAATCTACACTACCTGAGGATGATTCCACATGGGTTTCATCTTTCCTGGCCCAGTGGTTCTCGAGAAGAAGATTTTTAAAGATTTTTCCTATATATTCCTATGTAAAACAAGGGTCGGCCATTTTGGCCCCACCCTTGCCCCAGGGGTCACGATTTAAACAAACTTGAATCTACACTACCTGAGGATGATTCCACATGAGTTTCATCTTTCCTGGCCCAGTGGTTCTGGAGAAGAAGATTTTTAAAGATTTTTCCTATATATTCCTATGTAAAACTTGGGTCGGCCATTTTGGCCCCACCCTTGCCCCGGGGGTCATGATTTGAACAAACTTGAATCTACACTACCTGAGGATGATTCCACATTAGTTTCATCTTTCCTGGCCCAGTGGTTCTCGAGAAGAAGATTTTTAAAGATTTTTTCTATATATTCCTATGTAAAACTTGGGTCGGCCATTTTGGCCCCACCCTTGCCCCAGGGGTCATGATTTGAACAAACTTGAATCTACACTACCTGAGGATGATTCCACATGAGTTTCATCTTTCCTGGCCCAGTGGTTCTCGAGAGAAGAAGATTTTATAAAGATTTTTCCTATATATTCCTATTTTTGTATATAAAACAAGGCCCCACCCTTGCCCCAGGGGTCCTGATTTGAACAAACTTGAATCTACACTACCTGAGGATGATTCCACATGAGTTTCATCTTTCCTGGCCCAGTGGTTCTCGAGAAGAAGGTTTTTAAAGATTTTTCATATATATTCCGGCCATTTTGGCCCCACCCTTGCCCCGGGGGTCATGATTTGAACAAACTTGAATCTACACTACCTGAGGATGATTCCACATGAGTTTCATCTTTCCTGGCCCAGTGGTTCTGGAGAAGAAGATTTTTAAAGATTTTTCCTATATATTCCTATGTAAAACTTGGGTCGGCCATTTTGGCCCCACCCTTGCCCCGGGGGTCATGATTTGAACAAACTTGAATCTACACTACCTGAGGATGATTCCACATGAGTTTCATCTTTCCTGGCCCAGTGGTTCTGGAGAAGAAGATTTTTAAAGATTTTTCCTATATATTCCTATGTAAAACTTGGGTCGGCCATTTTGGAACAAATTTGAATCCCTGAGGATGATTCCACATTAGTTTCATCTTTACTGGCCCAGTGGTTCTCGAGAAGAAGATTTTTAAAAAATTTTCATATATATTCCCCGGGGGTCCTGATTTGAACAAACTTGAATCTACACTACCTGAGGATGCTTCCACATACGTTTCATCTTTCCTGGCCCAGTGGTTCTGGAGAAGAAGATTTTTAAAGATTTTTCCTATATATTCCTATGTAAAACTTGGGTCGGCCATTTTGGCCCCACCCTTCCCCCGGGGGTCCTGATTTGAACAAACTTGAATCTACACTACCTGAGGATGCTTCCACATGAGTTTCATCTTTCCTGGCCCAGCGGTTCTGGAGAAGAAGATTTTTTAAAAATGCCACTAATTTTTAACAAATTCATGATTATCTCCCCTTGGAAAAGGGCGTGGCCCTTCATTTGAACAAACTTGAATTCCCTTCAACCAAGGATACTCTGTGCCAAGTTTGGTTGAAATTGGCCCAGTGGTTTTTGAGGAGAAGATGAAAATGTGAAAAGTTTACAACGACGACGACAACAACGACAACGACAGACGACGGACAAATTTTGATCAGAAAAGCTCACTTGAGCCTACCGCTCAGGTGAGCTAACAAGGTCACAATAACCTACTTTTGAGTGAACATGATATGACAAACTAAATGTATCAACTGATAAAATTTGATGATCCTAGACCTAATAGATACTAAAACATAGGTAATCAGAGATTACAGAGATCACCCCCAGTGAATGTTGTCTTCAAGTAAGGCAAAGTTCCACAATTAACTAACAGTCTAGAATTTAACATCCCAAAATGCAAAATTGATCTGAGAGGGCTTGCAGTAACTTGGAAATAGACCTATCCAAAAACTTCAAACCAGTCGCCCATCAAAAAAATGTCATTCATATCCAGCATCTGAAGCAAGTTTGAGATTGTACATCTCTTGATGCATCATCTGTGCAATATAGGAATATAATTTCTTGGTGATAGACCTGCATACATAACTTTTATCTGGTCCATTATCTGGAACAAGTCGGATCCAGCATCCGAAGCAAGTCAATTAGTTTACATCCTTAGATGTATCATCCATATAATTTTGCTCAAACATAGGGCATATACCTGCTTTAGAATGAACCTGCTCCAAAATCTTGAATTTCATTACTCATCCAGAAAATGTAGGTCAGATCCAGCGTCCGAAGCAAGCCTGGTAGCATGCATCCTTAGATGTACTTGGAAATGTTCTTTTTAAGTACTTCTACATGTCCTATATTGATCAGATATGCATGGAAGATACTTCGTGTGTTTCATTGCTGCAATTTCAGCAAAGGAATGACCAGGTTAATGTTTTAGAAGCAGGTTAACATTTTGGTACAGTTTTGGTGTATGTTTTATTTCAGTAACTATAAACCCTTTGATGACCAAACTTGCATGGATGATACATCAAAGGATGCATATAACCAGGCTTGCTTCGGATGCTAGATCTGACGTTCATTTTCCGGATGAGTGAACAAGTTAATCTTTTGGTGTAGGTTTTATTTCCAAGTAACTATAAGCCCTATGATGACCAAAATTGGATGACTGATGTATCTAAAGATGCATACTATTATGCTTCTTTTGGATGCTGAATCTGGCCAATATTTTACAGAGTGAACAGGTAGATGTTTTGGTGCAGGTCTCATTTCTAAGTAACTGTGAGCCCTATGATGACAAAAAATGCATACAGTGTAGATGATACATCTAAGGATGCATACAACCACGTTTCCTTGGGATCTGGATCTGGCCAACATTTTCTGAATGAGTAAAAAAGATCAGTTTTTTAATGCAGGTCTCATTTCCAAGTAACTTTGAGCCCTCTGTTGATCAAACAGGCAAGGATGAAACATCTTAGGACGCACACTAATGAACTTGCTTCGGATGCTGAATCTGACCTACGTTTTATTGATGATTGAGCAGGTAAGAGTTTTTGAAGCAGGTTCTTCTTAAGCAGGTATATGCCCTATGTTTGAGTAAACTTGCATGGATGATGCTTTTAAGAATACACACTAATGGATGATGAATCTGACATTTTCCAGATAATGGACCATGTACATGTAAATGTTATGGGTGCAGGTCTACAACAAGGAACTATAAAGTCTATATAAAACCAAAGAAGATGGGTGCATTTGGCGTGCGATCTGCATGAATCATTTATGGTTTAAATGTCCATGTTTTGGTTGGCTAAACATAGCTGGTCAGATTTTACAAACACGTCCATAGGTTTTTTTTCATTTAGTTTGACCTTGTGAGATTGTAACATTTATGTCCTTTTTTCCTAGGGGGTACTACAACATAGTAATGTTTCACAAAAAAATAAACATCTAAAAAAAATTAATGCATAGATACATGATACGTGTACATGTACATTACAGAATAGAAGATTGGAATTGATTTCGCGTGAGAACCAAACTGAAATAAAATTTATCTTATTCAAAATTTTAATACATCAGTACATCAAAACTGACAAAATAAATGGTTGTTTGCATGAAAAAAAAATTAACGCCCCATGCCAGCCTCGAACCAAAAACTTTTCGCTTCGAGTGCACTGAACAGACAGCCCTACTTACTGAGCTATCACCGCCACAACTATACAAATGAATTTAAAAGGACAGAGAAGCACCACATTCACACATTTGGATTTTTTTGGGAAAAAGTTCATTTTTCGTGGTCTCTGGGTCTTCTCTCCATTTTTTAAAAATGTGTATTTGTTTCTTTGAATTAAAATACACACAAATAAGTTTTCAAAATCATGGAGAGAAGACCCAGAGAAAGAAAAATTTTAGAAAAACGTGTTTAAAAATGTACAATTTTATACCAAATGTCTGATCTGGCCAATTTTCAAGTTATTTTTTAGCAAATCAAAGCTCAATTTTGGGGAAATATTTTCCTTTCCTTTTGCACAGGAACTCGATAAATAACAAAAATGTTAAAATTTCATGTGACATGAGGATAACATTTTCACTTTTCAATTACGCCCAGATTCCTGCCGAATGCCAATCAAAAGCGCCCTCGTTCTTTGCAAAGATGATGTATCTAGGGATGAACACTTTTAAACTTGCTTCAGATGCTGGATATGAATTATATTTTTTTTAATAGGCGATTAATTTGAAGCTTTTGGATAGGTCAATTCCCTATTGCAAGTAACCGCAAGCCCCATTTGATCATAATTGTATGAATTTTGTATTTTGGGATGTATAAACTTCTAGAATGTTAGTTAATTGTGGGACTTTGCCTTACTTTAAGATAACATTCATTGGTGTGAGCTCTGAATTCTCTGATAACCTATGTTTTATGTCTGTTACAAGTTGTGAGAAACAAGTTGATTTTTGTCTCATCACTTAATTTCCATTATTATATGAAATTATATACCATATTAGCATCGCATTTATTATATACTGTTATGCCTGTTTTTATTATTTTTCTTTCAAATAAGTTTTTTTTTCCTCCTGCTTTTGACTTGCATCATCGCAGCATGCAGGTCATGTAGGATGAGAGACAATATTCCAGTTTGATGTTCAAATTGAGAGGATGTAAAAATCATATTTAATTAGATGTAATGACTACGACTCAGATGTCTTCGACTGGTTGAACCTTTGAACTATAATCATATGGTCAAATATAAGTGAGCAATTATCTGCATGTTAAAATAAAGGAAATAACGATGCCTTATCAAACTTTGAACCTTCAATGCATTAGTTTATATAAAAATTAAACTTCCATAAAAATCAATATGTAATATGTAGTTCTCAGACTCCATTATGAAACAAACACAGTACTTTGTTGAATTAAAACTTGAGTATATTTATTATAATAGATATATAAAATATATATAATAAAACAAATTAATAATAATAATACATATTTACATGTTTATGTAACAATTTGAACACTTCCCAAAACCTGTGATAGTTTATTACAAATGTTCATAATGTATCTCATACATAGCACTTACTACTAATTAGGAAATCTACATTTGACTACAGGTGACTTTGTCAGGCGTATTTACATTCATTAGTATTAGTACCTAATACTTTGTACAATTATGACATTATTTTGTGTTCTAATCTGTTCTTTGCTTTTTGACATAGAATGTTGTATACACATTAAATTTTATCTCTTATATGTCTTCCTCTCTATAGGAAAGAATAATATATTACTTCTGAATCAATTCAAATAAAAACTATTAATGATAAATACAGATTGTTGGATATTAACATTGAATGTGTCTTTAGTTAAAAGCATGCTCTGAGCAGATTATGAGGAACTTTTAAAGTCATTTCTTCCTACATAATGTTTATAAAAAAAACCGTTCTTTGTTTAAGCTGATGGACACAAATAAAAGAAAGATAACTCTTCCACTCCAATACATACTCTCATTAACCCATAGTGAACATTACTGGCTCTGAATTAAGAAAATCCTATAAGCTGATAAAAAAGAATATTTTAATGTAAAACAGATTTTTAAAACAAAAAGAGCACCCATTGGAAAAAAAATGAAAAACAGTTTTAAATAAAATACTAGGAATGGTTGGATCTGATTTTAAAAATGTAAAAGAAAAATCAAAAAAAAATGTAGAAGTTACAGATTATTATTTTTTTAAAACAAATATCAAAAACTTTTGTTAAATTACATTATTATTTATAATCATGACAAAATTAAATGTTAAAAAATATCTTTCACATGAAATATCACTGGGAATTAAGTGAAAAAAATATTAATGGAAATTTTTCTTTTAAAATTTTAGAATACAAAACATTTAAAAGCACATGTAGAAATATAATAATCATAATATTTTTTTTCATATAAAAATAAAGTATTTCATGCAGTGACTCATCTTGTGACATGAATTCCATCACTGACCATTAGTTATGATACCTAAGAACACAGTTACTTAGCAGTCCTCTTCATCTCCTGGAGTTACCTCCCCTGAGAGAGAATACGGACCGTTCTCTCCCACTTTCACAGAAGAGTCAATATTGGAGGTAGATAGGTTAATGTGGGGTTTGACAGGGGTGGAATCTTGGGAGGATGTGCCCCCGTTGTGGGCCCCATTATTACTGAGGTAGGGGGGAGGGGTAGTGGAACCCCCGCTTAGTGAGTCTGATATTGACTGCTGGGATCCCGAGTTTTCTGAAGACAAGTTGGCGAGGTTTTCACGAGCACCAAACATTTTGGCCTTTTTAAGTCCATTTTTATTATTGCTATTTAGGCTTTCTTCTGATGAGTTAAACGTGTCCTTGTCCTCCTCCTGAGAAATGATGCTTTCGTCGTTATTTAAGGAGTTATGGTCCACCCAGTCACTAGAATCATCCTGAGGAAGCTCTGAGAAAGATCCGGCACGAACCAGGCGCTTTCCAGACCAACTCAAAGAATTGTCCAGCATTGCTTTCTTAGCGAGGTTGTCTTCACACGACTTAGTCCGTGACACATGACCACTCATGTCCTCCTCATTAAGTCGAGACATCACAGTTTCCCCTGAGAGAACATCATCACGAACCTCAAAGGCCACACCCTGTTTTGTGTGTTCCTTTGTTTTTTGTTTCAATTTTTTTTCAATGTCATTCAGTTCCATCATGGAGATGTCATATGACATTCCACTGTGACCTTCTTTGGTATTTCTCTTTGGGTACGGAGTAGAAAATAAATCGGAATTCATGTTAAGGTTGAACTCCACACTTGTGACGGTGGTGTTGGGTGAATCTGTTCTCAGTGATTGCTGGTTTTCTACAGTTGAGGTTGAGGTGTTTCCAGAGTCATTGAAATAGTTTAACATGGAGGACTCTAGTTCCCCCCTTTTGAGCTGCACCGGTGTGATGATGTCTTCGTCTATGGAGGGTTGATTCTCGGGGGTGTGGGGGCGTAGGGTGCTCTCCATGTCTGACAGACTGTAGTCCACGAGCGTCCTGCTGGTGTCCCGAGGAGAATCAGCTAAATCACCTTCACTTGTCACTGCCACATTACACGACGACAACTCAATATTTCCAGATGATATTTTTATTTCTCTGTCTGATTTCTGCGGAGTGATTTCATCCTCAAACACCTCTGAAGGTTCTACACTTGGTGCAGCATTTTGAGTCCCTGACACCAACACAGAAATATGATCCTCCACTATGTCTGGCATTAAATCTCGTGGAGACCTCTGTCCCTCCCCAGCCTCGTCAAGAGAAGAGAGACTAGATGTCTCACTGGACGACTTCTTCTTCTTACGTTCTGGTTTGACTGGTGTGGTTGGAGATTTGGGCTCTCCCTCTGTTGCTGTGCTGTCTGACTGGAAGGAAACATCAGCCAATCCTGGATCTTTTGTTAAACTGGTATCCAGATCCTCTTTGTTGATTTTAGTGTCTGGATCTTCATACGACAAGCGAATCATGTCTAACTTGTCTTGTTCATTCAGATTTTCGAATGCCGAGGAGAACTGCATCCTTGTAGAGGTTGGAGTAGATATCTCTCCATCAAGTGTGTCGTTAAACTCCAGGGGTGGGGGTGGGATGGTGGGCTGTGGGGGTGGGAGGTCATCGTCCTCGTCACCAGAGGGTGGGGGCGGTAAGAGAGCCACTGGTTGTTTGTCCTGTGTGACTATACTCTCCTCTACCTCCGCTGAGACGTGGATTTCTGGCGAGTGTTCGCTGACGTTGCTCTGCCTGGTTTCTGGTGAGTGTTCGCTGATACTGCTTTGTCTGTTGTCTGAGTCCACGTTGACCTTCAGCGTCTGTTTAAGGTTGTCCAGCACTTCTTTAGGCTGCCTCATCTCACTATTGCTCCTCTTTGGTGTGTACACCGGCTCTTTGTTTATCTTCAGCAGTGTGTCCATGGACTGACTGCGATACAGAGGGTGGCTGAGGATCGACCGCTGGTGACCGCTCCGTCTCTCTTTGGATTTGGACGGTTTCTCCTTCTGTAGCGTGATTTTGACGGGGTAGGGAGAGGCATAGCTGAGAATGGTGAGGGCATCCTCGTACACCATATTCTCAAATGACACAGTCACACTCAGAATACGGTCACCTACAATGATAAACAAATAATTAAGAACTCTATACTCTCTTGAGCAATTTGCACAATTTTTTTTCATGTATTATGCTTTTTTTTTTAAAATAAAATTGTCATTAAAAGCAACTCTGAAAAGTTCAAATGCTATCACATTCTTTGTTTTTTAGCCCATGTTTTTTTTTCCTGATGTCAAGATTTATCATGTTTATCCTTCCTAATATTAATTAACAGAACCATTAGCCTTTCACCTTTTATGAATAAACCATGTCTTTTACTCTAATGTTACTGTTAAATAATGGCAATTAAAAGAGGATTTTGTGGTTATTCAATTTTTTAATTGTTCTCTTACTCACATTATTAATTAGAAAAATTTAGCAACATGATGTGTGTGGTATGAAAACCATAATAATAACAGTAAAGTGGAAAATCTTACAAAATGACACATTTACACAGAGATTACGTTTTACAGTACAGTGAGTTCCTCTACAATATGAGATGGATGTTCTTTTCGGTGTCAACTCTTGTCTTAATGTAAGCTTGCATGTAAAAGAACTGGATGAAATATCACATTTATATAGCTTTATTCTGAACACACACCGACAATTTTCAGCAATTTGTGAAAAGATTGTAACAATTATGCTGATCGTATTGAAATTAACATAATTATTCAATCAATAAAAGTATAAATCATGAAGAAAAAGGACTTTGTTAAGATCAAACAAAAATATTATGAGGGAGAATTCCCAAGATGTATTTACACGTATTATAAGATATAGACATTAAAAGTGGAAAAGAATTACATACAACAAATGATGTAGGAATTCAATAGCTTTTCTAATTTTCTAGTTGTTTGCATTAAATGTGTGCAGGGTTAGGGTAAGCAGAGGAAAAGTGTAATGAAGTATGAGAACAGATATTTGGTAATTTCCTCATGTTCATACTTTTTAGAAAAAAACAACTTTACAAACACTAAATGAAAAGAAACAGATCAGTTAAATGTATATTATATACAGTATATAAATCAAGATGGACTTTGACTGACCAACATGGAATTTTCCTGACTCTACTGCTGGTCCCCGGCCGTGAACCTGACTGACAAATATTCCGTCCCTCATACTTCCGGCGATGTTAAATCCTAGTCCCACAAAGTCTTGACTCTGTAACCAGACACTGGAAATTTCCGGGTCCTAAAAAAGTCAACAAAAATGTTACTGTATGATGAAAAATAATTGAAGAACTGAAAAGTATTCTGTTCCACAATCTACAGCAATACATTTAGTTTTTTACACAATAATTAGCTTTTGCTTCTTGCATGAAATCTTCCTTATCCCAACTGATCTGTGTTGTTTTATACCTTAATATAGTCATATAAATAAATTGTAACTTAGATTCACTCCGAGGAGCTGCATGATACAGTTTAAACAATTACATAAATCCCTATTAAAGATCCATGAAATATTTTTGTATTAAATTATTAAAAACAAAATTGTATTGATAACCATCAAAACTTGCTTTATTCATCTCTCCAAGATGGACATACATAATCTATTATGGCATTTCAATTTCATTTTTTAAGGATATATTTTCATCAGAAGCTTTTCTTAAGCTTGGTCCTACATCTTTATTCAAAGCACAATTATATCATTACAATGATATAAGCTTGTCAAACAAGATGGGCTGTATAAAATGTAATAATTTATAGGCTCTGTATTTCTCTGACAAGTGTGTCAATGAGATTCCATGGACTGATTACTGACAGTTTTACAAAGTGTTTCTATTGATTGTTAAAGGAAACGCTGGCTTAATAGTCCCGTGTCCCCGCAGCATATGGTGAAAACAATACCCCGTAACACGAGACAGTAAAGAAAAACTTTGTGAATGAATTCAAAAACAAAACTGCCTTGTATGCAGTCAGTGATAAAGAATGGATAGGGCATAGATTAACGTCCCTTGGTGGCAGAGAAAGAAGATTAGGGCTAGGGCATATTAAGTCGATGGAACAATCTCCCAGCAGCCATGAAAGGAGATCATACACAATGATAGGACACAAACAAAACCTCAGATTCTAATCAACAACCAATGAAAGCTTAATTCAATTATAGGGTTGTCCAGGCTTGGTCTAATGATCAACCTGAAGGAAGCTGCATCTGATATAAATAGTCCATGATGGTCAAACCTATACATCTGATATAAATAGTCAGTGATGGTCAAACCTATACATCTGATATAAATAGTCTGCAGGAATGGTCAATTACTAAACCTCAATGTTAAAGGATGACATGCATTCAGGTTCATTTACTTCATACAGAAAAAATACAAGTCAATGGCAATATTAAATAACAAACATTGCTTATCCTCATAACAGTTAATTCTAGCAAAACTGGCCCTATATAGATTGTGACATTTTACAATGGATTACATGTGGACAATTTACAATGGATTATATATACCATACTTGAGATGGATTGTTTACTTTGATGATATATTGACATTGCAATAGAGTGTATCTTTCTGTTTAAATAGACATATGTATCATTTTATTTACACTATATGGGACTTTAATTGTACAAGCCAAACTTTTAACACCAATTGGTTTTACTGATATAAGCCATCAGTTAGATGTATTGAGTATCCATTTAGGGGGTCATTATTCTGATACTCCCGAGTGGACACCAACAGACCTTAGTCCTCCCTAAGGACAAACTTATCTCGCGTTGTTATTAGGTGATCATTGGACACATTAAACTTGTGTCACCCTGTTATAAAGGGACCAGCTTAGGGGGCAGCCAAAATAGAAAATAAACACAGATCAGGCTTTATATGGAAGTAAGGAGTGGACAAGAGATATACACATGCATACAGACATAGATCATAATAAGTCTATCTGTTTCATTCAATGCTGTTCTGTCATAAAACATGCTGGCAATAATAAGACTTAGTATACATTTTATGTCAAGTAGAGGTACAGTAACCATGATCAGCAAAATCCAAAAACAATAGTTCCCAGCAGGCAACAATGGTAAGGGGTGTTTGTTTGTGGGGGTTTTTTGGTGTTTTTTTCTGTATTTTCCTCGTGACGTGTATGTGTATATTTGTACATGGCTTTTTTTTTTAATGTATTTTGTTCATTACATGTATGTGTATATTTGTACGTGACTTTTTGTTTATTTTTCCCTGAATTTTCCTGGGGAACTGAAGCACATTAATCAATACATTTGCCAAAAGGGCATTCCATCTGTGATTAATAATGCATCCATTTACACCTTTACCTTTCCTACAAGTTACAAATAGTTTTTCAACTTCGATGATCATGTTTTACCGAGTGTTTTGTTAGATACAAGATATATTTTACAGAAGATTTTGATTGACTATAACAATGTATTTCTTACAACATAAGTTTAAGACTTTAAGTTTAATAGATTTTATTGTTGGTTAAAATCCTAAATAATCTGGGATGTTGCAATTAGATGTAAGAAATATTTTTGTATAACTCAATGTACAATAATGTATAGGGAAATATAATTATAATAACAATTATAATCAACTCAATTTCCTGTAGGTACAAACAGTGACTAGAAAAAGAGGTCATACAAAAAAGGGGAAAGGAAAATATTATAAGAATTCTATCAATTGCCTTATAACCAAAGTCCATAGTCAATGGGCGTGCTTGATTTGTCTACACCTTACTACACCCCGTGTAGACGATTAACACCTTATAATCAAGTGAAATTGGGTGTAGTGTAGCAAATTCAACATGGACGTCAAAATTTCAACCAACTGAGGGGATCCTACTTGCAGACAATTTTCTAATAAACTATTTGTTGTGATAGTGAACATTTCTTAAAATCCATTTAATTAAAACAAAACATTTTACCAAAAGGCAAAGATTTTTTCCATAAAACATTTTCCCAGCTGCCCATAATTATCCTTATAACTACGGTAAATATCTAGCCATTGTCAAAAATATCTAGAGACTTTATCATTCAAACTTGCAAAACTTGCATATTTTTTATTTTACAAATTATGAAGTTTTTCCATTTTCCATAAAATGCTAAAAACACTGTCCACTAACTTACCAAAAAAAAAAATTCATTACAGTCAACCTATCAAATACTTGACAGTAAACTCAAATACAGAAAAAGACATTCTGAAGTTTTACCATCTTGGCATTTGTCAGCCATATTGAATTTTCAGTGTAATTACCTACACATGCCCTGCACAGGGTGTAGATGGTGTACACCTAAAGTGTACACTTTTGCACTTGATTATTGAGAAGTGTACACTGGGTAGAGGTGTAGATTAATCAAGCGCGCCCAATATGTTCCCCGATTGTACTTGACAATGAAGCCAACATTTCATTTAATAGTCATAGAACCACAGTCACAGAATAAAACCTACCATACAGAGGTCGTCCAGTGACCCGTGGGTGCCCTGTTTCCCCGGGGGAAGGTCTGACTTGGAGTTGGGGGACCATGACTTCTTTTTAGCCGACGACTTGGTTCCAGACAGGTTAGGACCCTGGAAATGAGAGAAAATTATATAGCGTGTTCATCACCTATGTTTTCAGCAGCAGATCTGTAAATATTTTGAAATAATTATACACAACTGAATTTAATGACTTATACTCTTGTTATATTATAAGTTTATTCAATAGGAGACTATATTTAGCTTTTTCTTTTTTGTTTTTCAAAATATTTTGCATTATCTAAATTCAACTGAATAAGGGTAATGATCAGGTGCTATGGAGGAGTGAGCATCCCCTGTCAAACGGTCACACTTGCTGTATGTTCCTTGTCATGATCAGGAAGATCGGAAAAATCTGAAATGATTTCATTTTGCCATTTAGAATTTCAAATTTTTGAGAATTCTCAGCATTGTATATATAACTAACATACCTGATTTTGGGTTGGAGTGGAGAATTCTCTACATTGTATATATCCACCAACACCTGTCAACATAAAAGAAAATACAATAGATTTTCATTCAAAACTTTGACAGACCTGACAGATGACAAAATTATCTGTGATCCATCAGGACATCATTTTATTTTTATGGATGCCAAGAGCTTAATGGTACCTGAAGCTAGTAATGGCAGATCATTCATCAATTAAACTGGAGAGAGAAGAAAAACTTACAAAAAACTTGTAGAAAATTGACAAAATCAGAAATGGGACACTGAGGTCCATCATGTACCAAAATTACAGCTATACATGTACTTGAAAAGTAATTATAAACCAGTGGGAATGTATGGGACACTACACCCTCTCAATAAAAACTTATACATAGCATGATAGAAGTGCCATGATATGTTCATTTGAATAATTTCATATTCATCATGTTCATATTCAACATAATGAACATACATGTATTTCATATCAATTCAAAATATTTCTACACTATTTCTGTAAGAATTTGAAAACATTACATACTAGAAATTTTATTTTTCTGAATGTGGCACTGACATCTCCAGCTACTTTAATTTTGTCTAGTTCATATTGGTTCATCGATCAATATTCTGTATAATTATGTTAAATACCCATGCCTTAATTTTATGGAAAGGGAATTTTAGGGATAGCCTCACATTTTGGGGGAGACCTTTGTATGATTAACATATGTAAAAAAAGGTTGTTTTTAATTCATTTCAAGTAAAAACCTATTAATTACAGAATAATTGACTTTGGAAGTGACTAAAATTGCATGTTGTTCTCAGACCATGGATGTTTAGAATTGCAATTGCCTCTTTATGTTTCATACAAGATGAACTGCATGGTTCTTGAAATCAACTTTAGTCAATATAGGACTATTATAGGTATTTAAAAATCAACATCAAAATTCTTCTGCCTCCTGTTGACCCTCAGAATGGCCGAGTAAAGTGAAGTAATGACCAAGTAGCATTGTTCTAGTAACTTCACCTATAGCTGTTTTTACCAGTTCATCTCATCAGCTGTTAGCAGGAAATGTCTCAATATTTTTACATGTCAGGGTCAGATTTTTAAAACTTTATCAACACGTCAGTCCTGCTTTAATAGAGCCGATATGCCCAGGAATGCAGACTTAATGAGGAATCCTAATACTTGTTAAAAGTTTGAAAAATTACCTCACATTTTACAGCATGCCTTCAGGTAAAACAATGAAAAAAATCTCAGAATAAACACAGAGGAAATAGTCTACATCATAAATTATCATCACGATATTAAATGTTTACTGTCCCCTAGTTCTGTCTTGTTTTAAAATTCTCTTTTTATTTCTTTTAAAGTACAAGAAATTGCTCTTAAAACAGAATGTTTAAAATCCAATGAAGAATTTCTTCTTAACTTGCTTTAAATATTTTGTGTTTAGGTAGATATTATCAGTGGTGTAATGGGTGTATCAGATGTACAGAAGGCCTGAGAATAAGACACTGACACCAGTAGCCTCTGGGTATCTAACCATGCTGACTATTTCCCTCTATCTCAGCCACAAAAAGTAAATCACAGATAGCATCAAAATTGTCTTTAACACCCCACACTATTCTTCTTTTTTCTATTCAGTTTGTTAAAAATTGTCGTCACTGCACGGAATTAAAATTAATGATTTTTGACTGAATCCCAATTATCCAAATTATATGCATTTAGTTTTCTGTTCCTCAATATATCTCAATTTTAAAATGTTTGAAAATTAATTCAATATTCTTAGTATAATTATCTCCTAGTTATGAATCAATTTAAAATTCTCATATTATATCAATGATCTACATTTGCCATTCAACCAGAGGCTTTTCTCTTATTGCCTATAGGATATTCTATTAAGTTTTTCATTTAAACTAAAAACACTTAAAAACATATCAATAGCTATTTACTTATACTTGGTAGGACCATTAGACATACCGGATATATTTTGTCTGTCAGTGTCCAACAAATTTAATGTCAAGTGCGTTTTATCTACATTTAACCTGGTCAGTGTGACAGGTGGATGATGACCTTGAAATATTGACCAGATGAAATTACCAGACCCAAAAAAAAAGGTAACATAAAATTGTGGCTGATTCACCCTAACAAGATAGAGGTACATGTAGATATAGATCGAGGTACAGTAAAGACGTAGATATATCTAGCAGTTCAGATATATATCTCACTAAGTCACCTATTTTACAAGTCTTTATTCATATGACATGGTAATTGATTGATTCCAATTAAAGACAGAAAGGAAATCTGTATACATGCATCACATTATAGAGTTTATGATATTGTGTATCCCAATACACCACGGATAAAACATACATGGCCCATCATAAGTTCATAACAAGAGAAGAGATGGTATTGAGGACTTTATTTCAGCATATTGTCCAAATCTTAAGGTTTTGACATTATGGTATTACCTGTAATTAAAGCCCTGTTTTTAGGTTGGTTCTAGGGGTATATATAATATGTATACTGGGATGGGGATTGAGAGAAACTGAAGCCGTACCTTTACATGACTGCAGTACTTCTTGTCTTAGTCTTTTCTGCTCCCTCTTTGTGTAGTCAGGCGAGTTTCTAAGATGTAGCTATAAGGTTCTGAATGATTTACATTGTATACATGTACTTGCCTTGCTCTGCTAAGCTGAGGTCCCCCTCCCCGTCCAGGTAGGCCGGATTAGACACTCCCAGGTCCTCACCATCCCTGAAATTGGCAGGCTTCTCCTTGTCTGACTTCAGATCTAAAATATAAACAACTCAATAATAAAAAACACGGTATATATATACAGTATTCACTGGTACATTGGGTATGTACAATACTGCAGAGCAAGCTTAAACCTATGATGCAATGAGAAAGCTAGCTTAATTTACATTATATTAAGCTTTATAAATAAGCATGATTTTAGGTGAGTTTCAAACATCACAGTATTTTAAAGAAATTTGTAAGCTTTTATCATTTTCATTTTGTGGGTTGATTTCACACAGGCACAGTATTTATAACAAATTGGTTAAGCTTTAATTTTGTGGGTTGATTTCATACATACATGTACACATATTTAAAACAAATTGGTTAGCTTTAATTTTGTGGGTTGGTTAGCTCTCAGTTTGTTGGTTGTTTGTGTTGAACCTTTGGGTGTGACAGAGATTAAGATAATTTTGTTTCTAATATTCTGTCGCAAAATGTGCCCAACCTGAACTCTAAAATTGCAAGATATCAGATGCCATTAATCAACTCTTTGCTTTTCACATGACTAAATTCCATAAAATTCCCCTTTTCAAACAAATCTTTTTTCTCTGTATAATAGTAAAATTTGTTTTAACTTAATGTTAGAAAACAGCTTAGTTGCAAAGTGGACTTTCTTTGGATGAGCCCTAAACAACAAACATTATACATTTAGAGAACCAAATTTTAATATCAACTAACAATTTAAGGTCATTTTAATTTATAGAATCAAATAAACACCCTCTTCTTATGGTCAGTTCAGATTGATCATTCTATGGATACCTCAATCCCAAGCGATGTGAACATCAAATTCATGCTCAAGCCAAAAATGTACTTATTTGAACTTCTTTGAAAATATAAACCTCTTTCAAGTTCAGAATTCTGTCAATGATCTTGATTATTTCCGAACAATTCATCACAATCGGCAGACACCAATCAGTAATTTCTAAGCTGATTTGAAAGAAACTGTTCATCTTCAAAGGGGGAGCCATCAACCGACTGACAAATCTACTGCAGTAATCCCTCTTCATCAGATTGTCAGCTGAAAACCATCACTGAAACAGGTATCCTAAACAAGGGTCAGGCTTAATATCCCGGGGTCAGCTAAGTTCGTACTATGTCCCATATCATAAACCTAGATTATTGCTAGCTTCTAACTGTAATGTTGCTTCATATCATAACAGTTCTTTTGGCATGGTTTTCAAATGGTTGTCCTACAATGTAGCTTTTACAACTACATTTGGGACATTATTTAGTTTGTTGATATAACAACATTCAATCAATTGTAACGGGCTGACAGATTTGATTGTTATTACCAATGGTCAGATTGCTCATTCAATTGGTATAGCTCCTAACTAGAGATTCAAGGGCCCTGGTTCAAATCTGGTCTGGCCTGTCATGATTTTCTCCTCTCCCATAATACATATAATACATTTGGTGTCATGCCCAGGATATGACAGAGAAAAGATATGCCAGTACTGGGAATAACCTGCAAGAGTTGAGGGCAGAAAACTATTTTACTGGGGGGGGGGGGGGTGTTACTTATAATCATGTGAAGGGGTTCAATAGCATGTAGGTACACGTAAGTTGCTCAGTTGGTAGTATAATCCAACTGTTAACAAGGTGTGTAGCTGCCACGAAGAAAAAATAGAATGTTTTATCAACTCAGGAATTCAAGAGGCCCGGGTTTGAATCAATGTCTGGTCCGTTAATTTTTCTCCTCTCCCATTACATTTTGTACAACTTGTCATAATACACATGCATGTATAATTGCTTAGATCCAAAGCAATTTTTCCAAATAATAACCGAATTTCTTATTTTAAAAAAACGTCCTCACTCTTGGAATAAAAGTATGAATACTTTTTTTAGCGCTAGCCCAGTGCTTACATGCTGAAAAAACTTAATACCATATTTGTTATCTACAAAAACTTGTGAAATAAGAGAAAAATATATGAAAAAGACATTAAACATCCATCAAAATAACGTACATCAATAATCACCCCATTTCAGACTACAGACAGCAGCGCGGGCTCTTGAAGCCGCAAAAGTGACATGCCGATCCCGATTCATAAAAAAAAATGAACTTTGTTAAATATTTGATGAAAAATAAATTAAGTTTTTTGTTTTTTAAGAATACTTTAATACTTTTGCGTCACAGGCACTTGTTTCTGTAATAAATTTTTGACCCATAGTATAATAGTAACACAAGGGTGTTATTATTATACTATGGGTCAAAATTTATTACAGAAACAAGTGCCTGTGATTGCTACGTAATTTTTACGGTAACAATATTGTGTTACACAAAATATCACACGGAACTTAACAATTACAGTATCATACTGTGATACACATTTTTTACAAATATATATTTGTTTTTTTTTATTTGCCTATACATAATATAAATATCCAAACAAAGGAACTCAACCCCCACCCCACCCACACCAACCAAAGACTCAACTTCAGTCTCCCACCCAAAGAATTTAACCCCAACTATCCCCAGTCCGAAATATATACATGTAATCCCCCCACCTATATGGCTACTTCTATCGACTAAATCCGAATGGACTTAAGGATATCCGATCCTCAGACAGGAAGGATAACTCCAAAAATTAATATTTAATTTGAAATGCATCAAAATGAAGCTTGAAAATAAAAAATTTTCGTGCATCAATTTTCATTTTATTCGTCTTTATAAGATTCAAGGTTTTTGGAAGTCTTAGGAAAGGTCTTATAAAAGTTGACATTTGTACCCTATAAAAGGAAATTTTTTTTATAGTTTTAGAGAAATAAGATTTTCTTGATTCCAGCCTTAGATACCAATGCTTATTAGCATGATATGAAATAAGAAGTGATTTGTGGTGTCTTGCAATGATAGCAAGAGCATTTTACACTATGTTTTATAGAATACATGACGGAAATAGAAGACAAAAAATACCAAATAAGTATAAAAATCATTAGAATTTCTGTGAATGCCTGGATACCTATAATTTTTTAACCTAAAATGTATTTGTTGATCAATTTGCAATTGGAAAATGCATTGCTGATATTCCAATTCGCTTTTTCTGCAAAAATATAGGAGATTTGACAATTTTTCCTATATAATATGATTAACTTTAATCTTTAACTTTAAAGAAATACTGTGGACAAATTTACATAACTTTGTGAATTCAGAGATATTTTTATGAGTATTTTTGATTACCCTTAACTGCTAATTTTATAAACCTGAGGATCGGACTACCTTAAACAAGAATTTGGGGATATGCTACAGTGTATATATATTGCTGGTACAGTCAGTACCGAATACGACTACGTATATACGTGTATCAAACAGAGGAAAATTAACAAATTTAATTCTGCAGGGACTGTTCACTGGTTTAATACAAAATACTTGACGTATAGAAAATTTCAGCGGACGAGACGTTTTCCCGCCAAAATTATACACAAGTAGAGGAGATTTTCCGATTTCTTCTGAGGCCCAGTTTTCTGGTTTTACAATAATACACATATATATATAGTTAAAACTTTAAATCTCCTAATGCGTTTACTGCCCGGAGTGGTTTTATCAATGAGAGGACTGAAGACCGTCTGTTTTTATTAATAATAAAGAGAACTTTCTAAGCGGAGCTTGGACATTGTCCAAATTCACTGTCCATCCCTGTATCTGTCCGAGGGAATTTGAGCAACAGCTTGTGTCCAAGTGAGCTTAATTTATTGTTATATGGGCTATCAAGAGGCCTTATGTTCAAAATGAACAGACTTTTAGAATACAGACTGGTTATTAGATATTCAACACTAAAGGCATGAGACAGTCCCGAGCAAACCCCTCTGATTTGTCAGATATAGAGCAAGACGCCCTAATTGTACAGTGCATAAAAAAACCTTAATGGGTAGAGGTTCTGCCTTTATAAATATCTACAATACATATTCCGCCGACGAAAGCCACATTAATATGTATTTTATTACCGCTATGTATGACACTGGTCTCTTATTCCCGTGTCGTAGGACGCGCCTATTTATCATTCCTTAACATTCCTCTCCATTGTCACCAGAAATTTCGTACCGTTTCACTGCTCTGGCATTATAATTTTTCTCTGCTTTATGAATTTCGATTCATGATTTACACTTGATTAAATCTGAGGTGGTTTTTGAGGGTTTGAATTCCAGTTAATATACTGCTATCGGAACTTAGAGCGTCGCAGCTGTCTTTATAAAGATAAAAATTTTACCAGGCGCATCAAAATTTCTCTCCATTTCTTTTTGGGGTTTGAAGAAAGACGTGAAAATAATAATAAACTTTAATAATTATAATGTTAACTCTGCGTTTTGTTACATTCCCGTATAAAGCTCACCTTTTCGTCGCCTCCATATTAAGAAGAAGATGACACCGGCGACGATAAAAACGACGGCCAGAGTCGCGAAGATGGTGGCCACGATGATGACAGCGGGATCGGTCTGTTCCGGACAATTCTGCTGCCCCACCACCACGTCCAAGCATCCTCCCACGATCAGAATAATGACAACTCCCTCCAACATAGTCCACACAAATTACTCACGTTAAAATCCCAGTAAAAATATCATCGGCACATGGCATAAAATTCACACTGCTGTTAAAATAATGAAGTGTTTCGGGTTTTTAAAAATATAAATAAGAGACATCAGAGGATAAGCTGAGAAGTGTTTAGAAAAAAAAGCATTCAACTGACACAAAGGAAAGCGATCTCTGTATCGCGTACAGATTTATAGTATTCAAAACAACTAGCACAAGAATGTGGACCGCGGTCATCCATGAGTGAACAGCAGGTCTGTCAGGTATGACCACACCAAAAACTTTGTCACAGGACGGGCCGAAACTGAAAGTAATGCACGGAGCCCGCGCTGTGAATGTGGGACTGTTGAATTGCTGGCATACCTAATGTTTCTACGGTGTAAATATTGATTAGCCAAGGTAGATAAACAGCATTCCAAGATTCTCTCTTACCTGTATAAAATACCTACAGGTGTATATCGCGTATTCAGGTAACCTTACGAGGCCGACACGCGAATTCTCACCGCTGGAATTTTAAACCTTTGAATTAACTAGCGTGACGGGATTAATACAATAATTATTACATCACCTAGTAAGCAAGTGTGAATGATAGATTTATATTGTGTGATACAATCTCGGGGATAAGTTACGCAACAAGATATACAACCCGAATTAAACTTGGGATAAATTTAAACCTGGAGATAGATCGCCTGATTTGTCGCGGTGTGACCCCGCGGGCACCTGCTTTAGCCAGCGTCAGGGCTATGACAACCGATGTATGAGAGATGTCAGGATTCGCGTGTAAAGAAGACGACACAGAACCACTGACACATCGTAAATCTGACGACGGACAGAAAAGCATAGGACCACTTACATGTCCCTAGTCAAACAATGATTTCAAAAAATAGGTTTTAATTTTTCAAAAATTAGAAAGCGTTTAAAACGATTGTGTAATTTACATATATGTCCCTAAAACAAAAACAAAAATCATATGTGCGAAAATATTGCATGTATGACATGACAGGCATCTCCGGAAGGGGGGGGTAGTATTATGCCTATTAAAAATTCCGAAAATTGGAGATGCATAAGAGATATTTTTAAATTTAGATAAGATCAACGAAAATATCTCAATTCCATGAAATCACTAAATCTCAAAAAACATCTTTATACATGTAGTTCTGTCCCAATTCTGTCACTTAGCCCCCCCTTTCCCCATTAGAACCATGCAATCAGGCACTGACACTAATTTCTTTATTTACAATAGTTGATTAATTATTGATAATTATTTCTAATTTTCTGATTGGTGAGAAACTTAAAAAAAACTCCTTTACTCTCACTTGTCTAGGGAGATTAACAAAGAGTACATTACTAAGAAAAAAAGTCCAAACTATAAAATGGATAAAATGTTCAAACTAAGTGAATGAATTCCCATTCACTGTAGGAAAAATTCTGGGAAAAACTTGCCATCTCACAGTATGTCAATATCCTAAGCTACTAAAATGTCTAAAACACAAAAATTACTTGGACATTTATTGTATATGCTATAAAAATAGAAAATGATTCCAACATAAAAACATACAATAAAACAACTATGACTGACAATATCAACTTTGACAATGCTCTTTGAGCAGAAATATTGCACTTACATGTAACACATGAAATCTTCACAAACAATAAAATAAAACATAAACAAGTGAACAACATCTGGGATGAAGTGTATTGGTGAACTAAGTGTATTGGTGATCTGATGATGATACGATGAACTCAGTACTAGTTTACAATGTTAACATAATGTGGCCATTTATTTACTTATGACTTTTCTTTTAACTCAACAGATGGCTGCTCTATAAAAAATGTACAATGTTCATCAAAGACTCTACTATACATCCACAATTATCTCACAAAATAGCCATACTTTTATGTACCGGTAGCACAATATCCATATTAACATGTATCAGTAATACAACAGCCAAAATTACAAGTATCTCAAACATTACCTATACATATACATGTATATACATCTGTCTACCACAGTAGACATATTTACATACATTCATCTCTAGTACAATGATCATTTTACATTTATTTATTTACATGTATCTAACACAGTAGCCGTATGTTTCCATTGTCAGCCCCCAGTAACAGTGTTCGATTTAGTGGGAGAACTGCTAAACTGGTCAACACTCCCTTAAAGGTGTCAGACCTCAACTTTGTAGAAGTGAAGTTTGCCTGAAAATAGAGTACAATATTATGACATAGCTTGTCTTCACCCAACACTTGTAAACATGAAGCCCTATCTACCAAATTTAAAACTCAGTTGTATTTGTAATTGCAAATACAGCAGATTGGTGTCAGGGAATCTTTTTATTTGTGAAAATTGATAATCAATGCTGAGTGAAAAGACACAAGAAACACATCCGAAGATTGATGACAAAAGTTGGAAGAATTTCGGTCGCTTGTCCGAGCCAGTTAATTTGCAATCAAGTATTAAATTTGATCAGAAACATTCAATCTACGATTTCCGTAACTAAAGGCATATTTGTGATGTTAACACAGAGACACTGGCGACAGCTAACATTGAAGTACGACAGCGCCGATCGAAGTGTTTCCTAGCTGTTCGTGGCGTGATTGCAATGCTTTGATATTTTCCAACAGATTTACACATCTATCGTGAGCACATTTTAATGAAAAAATAGTTTTAGTCTATATCATGAAGATTCAACTCAAAGTCTACCAAAAGTAAGAATAAACGTTAGAAACTCACTGTGCAGCTGAGAAAAGTGACAACTTGTAAACAATGTCTAGGCCTGTTTCTATCGGTATATTCTCTATGTACACAGGTTAAATTGATTGTCAAAAAATGTATGAAGTACTTGTTTACATTGAAAATAAAACAATAATATTATTTTACTTGATTATTTTGTTAATTTTTATGCACAAAAAGCAAGTCATGTTATATTTATAAGTAACGGTACATATTATTGCACCTTGTGATTCGGCCATGTATTGACCTCCTGACCTCTGACAAACTTCATACAGAATTGATGATATTTTCTCTCTGTATGTTTATATAATGGAAAGATACCACAAATGTATATATTACTTATTTATTGTATACCTGACTATCAAACAGTGAACTTATAATACTGTAAATCACTTTTTATAACCACAAGTGTTCAAGAAAATTAAATTCTCGCGTATAAAAGTTTTCCTTAAGATTATATAGAACAATAACCACAATTCGTGAAAATTTTGTCTCGCTAATCAAGAGTCAATGACTATCTCGCGAAAATAAGGTGTCGCGAAAATTTAGTGATCTACAGTATTACATATCTATTACATATTTATTACGTATTTATTACGTATTTATTGTATACCTGACTATCTAAAAGAGAACTTCTATCTTGTTTTCTGTTTGGTAACTATTATGTATTTATTACAAATTTATTAATATGTATTTATTACGTATTTATTGTATAACTGACTATCTAACAGTAAACTCCTATCTTGTTTTCTGTTGTGTAACTATAATACATTATTCATTACATTTTTATTGTATACCTGACTATCTAAGGCCAAAAAGAACTAATCAATAGTTTCTCAGGCACCGCAGCATCAGTTCAAAAACGGCCGCATTGATCAATTTTATTGACATATTGAAAAGGGAAATAACTCAATTTTCTATTTTTCCAAGTTAAAAAAAAAATTGAGTTATTCCCCTTTTCATAAATGCTAAGAAAGACATTTTTATTAGAAAAACAATACACTGTAGATCTATATTTCTTCTAAATCTTAAGTATTTTATGAGTTCACTTTTAAATAAATGTTTGGAATAACATTATATAACATTGAATACATATCAAAACTAATTTCAGAGAACAAAACTTAAGAATTAGTAAATATTATCATTTTACTGCACAAATGACTTACAAAAAAAGGTGTAAAACCTGCTTCAAAAAAAAAAAAAAAAAAGCCTGCCTGCCGCATTGCATTTTGAATTTTTTGGCCTGAGAAACTATTGATCAATTTTTTTTGGCCTAACGAGGAGTGAACTCCTATCTTGTTTTTTGTTGTGAAACTATATTACGTATTTATTATATATTTATTATGTATTTATTGTATACCTGATTATCTATTGAGGAATGAACTCCTATTTTGTTTCCCGTTGTGGCGCTGACGACTTGATCTCGGTAAAACGTGAAGCAGTGGGCAGGCTCCGTGTGACCTGTTTATGTAACAAAAATGTAGACAGAATATTAAAGTGTCATCTATTAATCTATATTTTCTGAAGTTCTTGCTTTCCTTCTTCAGTTATAAAGTTAACTTTTCATTTTTTGTTTGTTACCATCCTTCACTCTGTTCCTAAACTGAAGTCCGACTCTGTGTTTTACTTTCAATATATCAGTACATGATTGTATGAACACAAACTGACCTTTAAGTACACAGTTGTCTTTAATATCCTCTGAGTTCCAAACTTTCATTGTGTTGTCAAATGAAGTCGACACAAAGGTATTTCTGTTAAAAGCCTTCACCTGAAATTAATAATTATGAAAATGTTGTCAGGGATTTTTTAGAAGTAGAATTTATTCTACACAAACTGTTCCTGTAAAATTTCCCATTCATCTCTTTTCCCATTACATTGTACATTGTATCAGTCTATACCTGTAAATTTCCCCTCCCTCATCTCATTTTATTTCAGTATTACATGTATCAATAACATGTAATTTCCCCTCTTGTGCAGTGTATATATAACCTGTAAATTTCCCCCTCATGTCCTTACTCCTGCGCAGTGTATGTATTACCTTTAAATTTCCCCCTCGTGCCCCCCTCCCCTGTGCAGTGTATATATTACCTGTAAGATTTCCCCCTTGTGCCCCTTCCCCTGTGCAGTGTATGTATTACCTGTAAGATTTCCCCTCGTGCCCCTTCCCCTGTGCAGTGTATGTATTACCTGTAAGATTTCCCCCTTGTGCCCCTTCCCCTGTGCAGTGTATGTATTACCTGTAAGATTTCCCTCTTGTGCCCCTTCCCCTGTGCAGTGTATGTATTACCTGTAAGATTTCCCCTTGTGCCCCTTCCCCTGTGCAGTGTATGTATTACCTGTAAGATTTCCCCTCATGCCCCTTCCCCTGTGCAGTGTATGTATTACCTGTAAGATTTCCCCTCGTGCCCCTTCCCCTGTGCAGTGTATGTATTACCTGTAAGATTTCCCCCTTGTGCCCCTTCCCCTGTGCAGTGTATGTATTACCTGTAAGATTTCCCCTTGTGCCCCTTCCCCTGTGCAGTGTATGTATTACCTGTATGATTTCCCTTTGTGCCCCTTCTTCTGTGCAGTGTATGTATTACCTGTAAGATTTCCCCTCATGCCCCTTCCCCTGTGCAGTGTATGTATTACCTGTAAGATTTCCCTTTGTGCCCCTTCTTCTGTGCAGTGTATGTATTACCTGTAAGATTTCCCTTTGTGCCCCTTCCCCTGTGCAGTGTATATATTACCTGTAAGATTTCCCCTTGTGCCCCTTCCCCTGGTCAGTGTATGTATTACCTGTAAGATTTCCCCTTGTGCCCCTTTCCCTGTGCTGTATATGTATTACCTGTAAGATTTCCCCCTCGTGCCCTTTCCCCTGTGCAGTGTATATATTACCTGTAAGATTTCCCCCTTGTGCTCCTTCCCCTGTGCAGTGTATATATTACCTGTAAGATTTCCCCTTGTGCCCCTTTCCCTGTGCAGTATATGTATTACCTGTAAGATTTCCACCTCGTGCCCTTTCCCCTGTGCAGTGTATATATTACCTGTAAGATTTCCCCCTTGTGCCCCTTCCCCTGTGCAGTGTATGTATTACCTGTAAGATTTCCCCCTCGTGCCCCTTCCAGGTGGCCATTAGGTACCCTGTCCTCTGGTCAAGTAGAGACATGAGTCCTGAAGAGAATCCTATAGCGACCCAGCTGTTGTCTGGACTAACAGTCAGAGAACGAATCAGTCCTGTCAACACAAAACATGACAGTCAGAGAGCCAATCAGAGCTCTCAACACAAAAAAAGATGTTTAGAGAGCCAATCAGACCTGTCAACACAAAACATGACAGTCAGAGAGCCAATCAGTCCTCTCAACACAAAACATGATGGTCAAAGAGGGAATCAGACAAAATTGTGAAGAAAATGAAAATTCTATTAGTATTCATGTCTTATTGTTTGACCTGTGTCATACTGTACCTTCATTGTGGCATCTTCGCTAGCCAAGGGTTTCTGATACGCTACTCTCCTCATGAACCCTTGGCATACTGTGAAGTCAAAAGACGGGATTGTTTTTGACACATGATCTCGAATCTATCAGGTACTTACAGATTGCGTCATCGACAGAAATGAAGACGTGTGTTTAAAAAAATCAAATCAAAGTTTTTTTCAAGAATATTAAGAAGCATTAATTGAGTTATTATTTATAGTACAAATCGGAAGCTTCAATATAGATTCTTAATCACATATCTAGAAGATAATGGATGACATCGTAGGTATTCATAGAATTGCACGTTATCTTACGGATCATTGTTTACTTGCGTTTTTCATTTCCGAGATTAAAGATTCAAGAAGTATCCCAAACGCAAATATCGTCATTTACAGAAAACAATTGCTTTGTGTACCGAATCCCTATCAGAAATCGAGAAAAAAAAACAACTTCTATCAACACTGTATGCCAAGGGATTATGAGGAGAGTAGTGTAGCAGAAACCTTTGGCTAGCGAAGATGTCATCGTGGTGGATGCCTGACTGAAATTTTACACTTCGTGTGAATTTGGACAAAACACAGATCTGATTATAAGACAGGGACTATGATGAGCTGGCGGAGGAAAAAAATAGGTCCTCTGAGGTGTCAATACAAAACATGATGGTCAGAGAGCTTATCAGACCTGTCAACACAAAACATGACAGTCAGAGAGCCAATCAGAGCTCTCCACACAAAACATGATGGTCAGAAAGCCAACCAGACAAGTCAACACAATACATGACTGTCTGAAAGCCAATCAGCCCTGTCAACACAACATGACAGTCAGAGAGCAAATCAGACCTGTCAACACAAAATATGACAGTCTGAGAGCCAATCAGACCTGTCAACACAAAACATGACAATCTAAGAGCCAATCAGACCTGTCAACACAAAATATGACAGTATGAGAGCTAATCAGACCTGTCAACACAAAACACGATGGCCAGAGAGCAAATCAGTTCTTTCAACTCAAAACATGACAGTTAGAGAGCCAATCAGAGCTCTCCACACAAAACATGATGGTCAGAGAGTCAATCAGACCTGGCAACACAAAACAAGACAGTCAGAGAGCCAATCAGACCTGTCAACACAAAACATGTCCAATATTTTAAAATATGTCTGATGGAACTGGTTACAGTCACATGTATCATAAGCAATGTATGAAAAATGAGAAAATTTATATCTTTTTCTGTATTCAAGATTTTACAGCGAAACCAGCATTGACTTACCAGCAGAAGTTGTTGATGTTTTGAACTCATGTGCAAACTCAGCTGATCGCAAATCAAGGTACCTAGAGAAACAAATTAAAAATATTCTTTGGCATTTATGATTAACATATGGTAATTTATTGTTTCCAAACTGTTGTAACAATCTAAAAACTTGTTAGTAACAGCTATAGACATAGAGTTGAGATGCCCTAAAGGAAAGATAACTGTGACTGACCTGAGCATGGATTCGTTGGTTGCCGTGACGATCATGGTGCTGGGAGCTGGCAGGGTTGTCATGGCTGTGATCGGCTGCGAGGATCCATTGGAATCCAGCATTCTCACTACTTCACTCGTAAAGGGGTCCCATATCTACCAATATGATTCGTTATTATGTTCATGATAAATTTTCATATCAGATGAGAATAATAAAAGGGATTTACTTGACATGAAAGACTTTGAGACAATCCCGTACTTACATGAACATTGCTGTCACAGGAAGCCACCAGTTGTACAGTGTCCAGATAAACAATGGAGAAAATAGACTTCTTATGTCCATTATAGGTGTACTGGCATTTACATCTAAAAGACAAACTTTTCATAATTAAATGTATGCATCTAATAAAAAGTAAGTTAAAGATGGCATCTGATTTTGATTACTAAAATTTTCGAATTTAACTGGATTACTTCACCTTTAACGTTAACACCTGTGAGTTGACAGTTTATTATATTTTTAACATTGGTACCAGGGAGATGACAGTTTATTTCACCTTTAACCTACCTGCCATTGCCGTCACCAAAGCTTTTGATGGACCACAGCTTGACTGTTTTGTCTTTGCTGGCGCTGATGAAGGAATTCTCGTTGTCGAGGGCGACCATTGCTCGGATACTACTGCTGTGGCCCTCGAATGTCTGCAGTTTGATTTGTTTAAAGTTGAACAGGGAATCTCGCTCACTCAAACCTGGTACAGATATAGAACTGAATCAAATTATTCATCACGTTTTCATGGTAGTAATGAGTTCCTTTAAGACGCCTCTTACTTCTTTCAACCATCAATAAAAAATGCCAATTTCCACATGAATAGCTTTTCTCATAACATATGTGTATATAGAAGTGCTCTATTTTAAAATTCATAATCTCTAACTGTGAATTTTGTATCACAAAAGTTTTCTTCCTGTGGTAACCTCTAGCATATTTTATTCAGATCTACAGCAAATCTATTGAGCATATCTATCAAGGTATACATACATAATTTTATGAAACTATTAATTAAATCGACTCTTTATTTTGTGTTCATTCACTCCCAGTCTACATACCCAGCTCATGTTCCCAGTAGGCTAACCAGTTCCCTTTAAGATGTCTCTGCTTGTTTCTCTCTTTATATTCACTGAATGCAACATATCCCATATTAGAAAACCATGAACTACTTTTCTATAAAAATATTTCAGTTTTTGACTTAAAGGTTCCATTTTCCTGTTAATCAGTTTCTGTAATATTTCTTTGAATTTTGAGCAATATGAAATTTAATTTCTATGACACAGTTATCATTAGCATTACCAAGTAATATGGGATATTCTCTACACCCTCACTGGTTTTATTCTCTTTCAATTTATAAATAACCTCACCATTTGGTTTCATCAGGATCTAGGGTGAGGATCCGAGAGGAGCGGTGGATGGGGCCGAATCGTATCATGTCTGTGTGTGTGTTGGTGACCTCTATCTTGTTTCCAGTGATGGCTGCCGTGGGCTGTGGTGAAGGCTGAGAGGGAATGTACTCCTCTACAAACAAGGATCAGATGATGTTCAATGGAATATCTAGCTTTATACTGTAAATGTATTATATTTAGCATGTACGATATTTGGCAGAAATTAATTTTTGAACAAGTTAGCATAGATTTGATTTAGCGCATTTCTCAGTGTTCCTATTTATGTGTATATTTGCAAGACATTTAGCGTTGTACTTGAATTAGCGGAAGTTTCTCTTCACCAAAAGCGCTAAAAAGAATACACAGCCAAATGTAATACGTTTACAGTATGTTCTCTATCTTTACAAGAGATATAAGCTTTGGTGAACTTTACCTATTGGAATTGTGAGTTCTGATAAACTTTACCCATTGGTGACGTGGGTTCTGATGAACTCTCTGGAGATGTCTGTCCTACACTCATGTCGTACTGAGAACACAGCTGTCTGATGAGATCTTCATTGGGCAGACACTGCTCCATGTGTGTACTGAGTGAAAAAAGATTGATTTCATTTAATGATATATTTTACATGTTTCTGGTTTCTTGTCATGTTAATATGGTGTTTGCTTGTTTTAATTAACAAATGAACTAGAAGTCTGTGTACTAACTTGCCAAAGATTCTGAGGAATGGGATGTAGGAGGCCATGGCCAGCTCAGGGTTGAAGACGTCTGCCAGCTCCTGCTTCACTTTTTCTACGTCACGCACCATCCCCTCAGGGGAGTCCTCTAAATATAGCACAATCACATCAACAGAGCATTTATAACAAAGAAAACTATGTACCAACTTGAACAAGTTACTAAATACTGTAGATCACTAAATTTTCGCGACACCTTATTTTCGCGAGATAGTCATTGACTCTTGATTAGCGAGACAAAACTTTCGCGAACTGTGGTTATTGCTCTATATATTTTTAAGGAATACTATTATACGCGAGAATTAAAATTTTCCCTAAGCACACTGTCCCTCACTCTCACTCTCGTAATTACACAAAAATAAAGTTCTAAACAACACATAAAAAGTGATTTACAGTACTGTAAAACATGCTTTACTAGAAAAATATTTTTTGCTTTCAATGATTGTGTTGACACAAAATGAAGTTCTCATATATTATGAGTATTGACCTTTTTTTGCATATTACTAACATATCGACAAATGTATAAATTTATTTGTTACAAGATAATTTCTAACCTTTATCTTCAATTGTGTTGAAGGCGAGTGAGTGAGATTTCCGTAACATCAATGAGTTGTGGGGTGATTCTAGACTGGAGATACTGACTGGTGTCCCTATGGTGTACTCGTTAGTGTGAGAGTCAATCTTAATGTTACAATACTCATCCAAAGATCCAGCTACAAGTAAAAGATGTGTTTATCATAAATAAGACACCTCTGTGTGTGTGTCATATAATAGTCATACTAGTTTGCTTTCATCATAAAATATTTGTACTTACATCTATGGTATGTATATTGAGTTAAATTCAAATAAAATTTTAAAAGTGACATCTGTTAACTTAATTAGTATTTCATGTACATTATATAAATATTTACATGGAAATGAATTAGAAGAGTAGAAGGAATTCACATAAATTGCCTAAAGTGTAATAAACATTTGATTAATTTGAGTCAAATAGAATGTACATGAAAAGATAGATATACACACATGTAAATTTATCAGCATTTTGAAGGACCACTGTGTGTTAACTAGTTCTCCTACCTTGGTTCCCTTTCCCCTGTTTGTAATCAGACAAACTTTGAGATGACTCTGACCTCAGCATCTGTTGTCCGTATACTTGATTAAATGACGAGAAGAATTCCTTCAGAACTCCTGTCATCTGGTTCCTGGTCATCTCGAATCCGAGACGGAGACCAATCACATAGACCACGTCCACCAGTTTATGACAGATCACAGTCCTAATGCTGCTACCACCGGGAAAATGACAGGAGGGGGAGGAAACCAGTTTAATGGTCGGATTGAGAACTTCCTTAATGATTGTCTCCTAAAATAATGTGATTTTTTTTTTTACTGTGAAACCAGTGATGAGTGCTTCTTGATTTTGTCCATATAAATTCTTAATGTAACACAGTTATAAATCAAAAAATTTAGATGATAAACTCTTTAAGTTCAATTTTTCAAAGTTAAACTCCATTAAAATTTCAAGATAGGAGTATTTTACCCTATCTTTGGACTTTCAGTAGGGCGTGACTTTCTCGGCGCTACGTAATGGCGAATACTAGTAGATTCTCATTGGTTATGAAATTAACAACATAGGAACTTAAAATTGTTGTTGATAACGATCAGACGACTAATGCCCCACCTCTGGCCTCTGAACTTTTAATTGGCTATTTACTACACCAGTTGACATCCGGCTGCATTTCTATCATATGTATATTTCAACAGTGAAATGAAGCTGTGTAAATTTCAGAAGCTAATTAGGTAACATCGAGAATGCCACGCCTTACTGAAAGTCCAAACTAAGCGTGTAATTCTTCTAAATCTATTAATCTAAAAGTAATGACAACCCCATGACCAAAGACACAAATATCAGAGCGCATGATTTTATCTACCTGAAGTATATCCATAAGACTTTTATCTGAGATGAGGGGTAGGACATGTCTCATTAGTACAAGCGCACTAATTAACCCCGCCTCTCCTTTCTGGGTCAGTCTCTTTTTGGCCAGGGTCACCTTGAATATGAAAAAAATTCAGTCATAAATCAGTCTCAATCAAACAATCTTCATGTTAAATGTTTAATTGTTTTATAAAAGTTAATTTTGTAATTCTCACCATATCTATAGTACAGGGTATATACTGCAGTAGAACCACTTGTTCTCCATACAGCTGTGAGATTTCAGACAAACACTCCAAAACTTTATGTGCATTTCTGTCTCCAAATACAAGCCGTGATGTCTTATTGAACCGCTTCTCTGGAAGTTATTGAATAAAATTTGTAAAATAATTCTATTACATATATATGATAATATACATGGATGTAATCTGGTATACTTTTTAATAGATGTAGTAGTAGTGTCTGTAAAATCAGTTACATTAAATATCTGTGAAAGCTCAGAATAAAGGCATGACACAACAGCAGGAAGCTCCATATAAGCCAAGTAAAACTGACACTCACCAGAATCTGTGATGGTGATGAGTTGCTCATCTCCAAGGTAACACAGCGTCAACATCCGAATCAAATTTCTGGACAGAAACTTAGCCGTCAACAAACAACCTAGTCGTCGTGACAACCACTTGATGCTCTCTGTGGCGACGTCCTTGATATTGACGACCTCTGATTCAGACTTCTCTGACATGGTCCTGGCGAACTCGTCCGTCTCGCTGCGGACCATTCCCTGACTCCCCGTCACGGCGGGGTGAGAGCTGCGGGAACCCCCGGGAATCATCTGAGGACTGGAGTCTGTGTCCTCCTCTTCTTCCTACAAACAGATTTAAACCTCTAGTTCTCCTTTGTTATCTTAATATTTCTATAAATTTTTTTTTGAACCTTTGGACTTTTTATTTGATATAGAGATGTACATTGACTACAGCTCTGACCTGGAACTGCAGACTCTGTGAGTCCTCCTCCTCCACATCATTGACTACAGCCCCCCCCCCCCACACACACACACACCTATATATTAAATGTATTATAAACTGACTACAGCTCTGACCTGAAACTGCAGACTCTGTGAGTCCTCTTCCTCCAGATCACTGACTGCTTCCTCTCTCTGGGCGGGATCAATCAGCCCGGCGAGGCTGTGTATTGAGGTCTTATCAGCCGAGTCCTCATCCTCCTCCTGTGACGCCTCACTTAACCTGTCTATGTCTTCCTCATCCTCCATCGACTCTGTCCCCTGCTGTGCGTCCTCGAGGATACATGGGAAATCTCCTGAGAATTCGTCCTCCGTGTTGTCTTCCTCAGGAACTGTGTCCTCATACGTCTGCGAGTCCTCGTCACTGACGCTCTCTTCCTTCAGGGGAGGTAACTCTTTAGTGGACTCCCTCTGGGACCCCGGACTGCTGGGGTAGAGGTTGTCCAGGTACAGGTCCTCAAACACGTAGTCCCTGTACCCAGCTGCTGCCTCCACAAGGAGAGTGGAGAAGTTATTAAGGAACACACTCAGACCCAGCCTCACCAGTAGCTGAACCAGGAACGACCGGTGGTAAATCTTCATGTGTTTAGGGGTGGACTGTTCTACATTGAAGATTCTCACTAAGTAGGGTAGGAATATTTTGGCGGTTTCCCTTGGTCCTAATTCTTGTCCAATCAGATTGAAGAGTGACCACGCTGCCTGGATGGCAGTGTCCTCCTGACTGAAGAGTTCCTGGACGTACGGCAGGATCAACTCAATCCCCTCCTCTCCATAGCAGCCCTGGTTCTCCTCCAGGAAGTGCTGCAAGATGGTGACCTTCTCCCGAGAGATGACCTTGATAAGTTTGTCCTTCTCTAAAGAGCTGTTCTTCCTCCAGGTGATTTGTTGTATCTCCTGGTCTTTGTGTCTGAGGTTACAGATACACTCATACAGCTGGGAGAAGTAGCTTGGGAAAGGGAGGAGACCTACAAACGGGTGGAGAAGCTGGGCAGGTGTGGGTGGAGGCAGGCCTTGTGAACTGACAGTAGGGTAACGGAACAGAGAAAGGTGCCCCCTGGTGGCAATATCCTCAATGACAGCGGGGGGCTTATGTAAGTGGAGTATCTCCTGAGCTAAGGAGGTGATGCACCTAAATCAAATGAACTGATTCGTTAGATAACATGTAATTATATTTGGATATTACCATTATTTAAATCAGTCCAATCTTTTATAATTGCATTAATTGGTTTCAATTGTTTTTCATTTCACCTTGGTATAAGACTTGGGTTCTCTCTGTAAATCTGAGACAGGAAAGTGAAGCGCTCCTCAAGTGACCAGGATTTATCCTGAAACTGAATCTGATCCTTCAGAAAAATCTCACAGGCCAGACACGCAAAGCTCTGTATATCCCTCCATATAGCATCAGTCACAGAGTCCAAGTGTGGCTTAATCTAAAACACAGAGTAATATATAGTCTAGAGTAATTGTAAGGTTAGAGTAAGACACGCAAAGCTCTATAATTATGTCCCTCCATATAGTATCAGTCACAGGGTCCAAAATATATAACCTTTCAGTTTATACTTTTAAAATATATGAATATATGAATTCATATTTTCAAGAACATCAGAATTTACTTCATTTACTTAGATTTCGCTTTATGAAACCATGTATAAAATTTAATAATTTAGACAACTTTAGAAACTTTAGAAAAATTACTAATTAGTAATAGTCTTAACACTGTACAGTAAATTATTCTTCCAGGTTGTTTAACATGTTTAAACAACTTCGTAAAATGAATGAAAAATAATTGCCACAAATGTAAACAATTTCACTAAAATTTAAATATATTCCTGTATTTTTGTATACGTAACTAAAAATTATAATTATCTACCAGAGTTTTTTGAAATCAGTGAATTGATAGAAATACAAGCCTGCATCTCTGTTTTCTTTGGCATCTGTTTGAATGTCCTACTGGAGAACTGATAAGAAGCTTCCATCTGATTGAGATCAGCGAGGGGATCATACATCTTTGGTAACGTGATTCGGTCATTCTCTGGGCCCTTTGTTACTCTGCTCTGACTATAAATAAAACATGAATACCCCCAGAGATCTACACATATATTCCTGAACTTTCAAAACTTAAATAAATTGAGCATGATAATATTACCCTTTGTCTAAATGACTTTCTTCTTGCATTTCTGGTAAATTCTACAAAAAATTGAAAAAATTTGCATTTAAGAATGGAATTTAAACATTTTTAAAATGTCTTTATTGGCACTTTTAGCTGAATCAAACAGCAAAACAAAAAGGAGAATTAAGAATATTAAAAAAAAATAACATGGACTTGTAGATTACCCTGTACATGTATGATTTACTGACATTTAGTCAAAATATAAGCATAATTTTGATTTTCTTAAATGGAATATACACATTTTTGATTTACTTAATATATGGAGTATAAACATGTTTTTGAATTACTTACATGGAGTATAAACATGTTTTTTGGCAGACGCGGGGGTGTGGGTTTGATGGAGGTAGAGGCAGGGATCCGGTGGGGGTGGGGTTCCTGGAACAGCTGGACAACACCGTGATTCAGGGTGGAGGTGTGGTTGTCCACCAGACGAAGGTTTACGTTCTTACACTGGACAGCTGCTGACCCTGACAGCTACAACAGGAAGGTCAAAAACAATAAAGATTACGGCTACAAAACACAAGAAAGCCATAAATAATAAAGTTATTACAGCTAGAAAACAAAGGAAGGCAATAAACAATAAAGTTAACAAAGATTTTAACCTGGGAGAAAAATCGGTATGAATCCTATCCATAATGAAGGGCGTTAGAATAAGGTGTCATGTAATTAGTATTTGGATAAAGTGATTGCAAATTTTTTTCATTAACATTTCTATGCATTTTTTGCATTTTAAAAATTTATGTCCTTAACAGATTCCTAGTTTTATATGTAAATGAAAGTCTCTTCATGCAATTTATTTTTTTAATGTTTTCTTACTTTGAAGCCAAACGTGAGGTCAATCCAGTGATGCAGCTCCTCAGACACAGAGTCACTCTCCAGAACCTCCAGGTGTCGCCTCACAAAGTCCTCAGCTGAACTACACCAGCCAGGCACCTCAAGGTCAGGGAGATCTTCATGGAGGGAGGTAAAAATGGTGGTATCCGTGAAGAATTCTGGGATACATTCATCTGGAGTCCACTCCTGCATTCTCTGCATACTGTGGGGATATTCATTAGGGACCCACTTTGACCTGACATATTTACACAGTGTGGACTTTGGGGTCCGCCGGGCCTTATAGACGTAGTAGGTGATGTCTGACAGAACATCGGGAACATGGTGAGGAATGTGGTCACTGGAAAATGTCTGAAAGGTTAAGTCCAGCTGGTTATCTCCCTTGTTCAGTCTGAACTTTGACACCGTGAGGTCACGAAGGCCAGTATCTGGACCAGAGAAATCCATCACCCACGGCAACACCGGGTGGTGATTGGGATCACCTAGTCGTCTTCCAGCTAGATGATTCAAAACCAACAAATACTTAAAGTTGGAGATTTTTCTGTTGACCCACATGTCGACTATAGAGGGAAGGTCTGCCAGCTCCACCTTCAGCTGATTGTAGTAATGCTGGAACTGTTCAGGCTCCATGTTTTCTATCTTCTCCAGCTCTGTGATGTCGATCCTGGAGTTAGTGACAGTGTCTATGTTTGTACAGCTCTCCGCTCTCTTCACCTCAACCTGAGGTCTGGTGCTGACGGCCGACTTGTACACCCACAGATTGGGGTCCACCAGAACGTTGTATGTACTCAGGTCCCCCATCCTGGCCCCCTGACTGTGGAACACAAGCATCACTTTGAGGAGCTGGTACAACAGGAACAGAGGTTTAGCTATAGAGAGGTTAACAATGGCTGGACTGTAGGCCAGGAGGCTGTGTACGGAGTGGGGAATATACTTCTCTATGACAATAAGACCGTGTCCTGCTTCCTTTGTTGTGTAGATAGGGACAATATTAGGAGTGGAGCTCTCCCCCAATAGAAATCTGGATACATCAAGACAACTCATCACTCTGTGTTCACAAGAGAAGTCCTGGACACCCTGAATATATAACAAGGAAAATATTAGTACAAAAACTGAGGACAAATTTATATTCCAATCGACTACAAATTGCTGTAAATGTGTTATATTAAGTGTGTACAATGTTAGGCAGAAAATGATTTTTGAGCAAGTTATCTTAAATTTAATTTAGCACATTTCCTCATGTTCTTATTTATATCTATATGACGGATTGTGCAAGATATTGTGAGGTACTTGAAGAGGAGGCTCTTTTTAGCCCTAATTTGAAAATTTTATCTCAGAACATTTGCTGTTTGCATAAATCAATAATAAAGCACTAAATACTGCTACATATAGCTAGGATTTTGATAAGATACCTGTGAATTGGAGAGTTTTCCCTCCTGATACTGACTATAGACGGATCGCCACATGTCCTGATAAACCCTCTGGTTAATGTTGTCCAGATGTCCGTGTAAAGTGTAGGGTACTGGATCATAGTCTGGCGACTCAGGGCTAATATAATAAAAAAAAATCTTACACTGCTGTTTTATTGTACCGTATTGGGCATTTAAAGCATTCCTAACATTACAAAATTGTATTGTTTTGTATGTGTTCATGCAATCCTAACATTATAGCGTAACAGATTTATTCAGATATAAATAGGCAGATGTATCACTAAAGATTGAATGAAAGAATGTGGCCTTGTCATATCCTTGATGTTAACAGTAAAGAAATGTAAACAGACAGGTTTTAACAAAGCTGACATGAAAAGTGAGGTACACTGTACTACATAACCATGATTACTTACTCCTGTACAGGTTTGTAGTACGGTTCTTTGATTTTGATGAATATCCTGACCCAAGGCTGTGGAGTCTGAATGTTAGACACAGCCAGCAGGCCATCAATTTCTGAGTCAGAGATATTTACGTCCTGATCATCTGGACATCGTCCACTCTGCACCAGCGACAACAACCAAGGTTCTGTTACCTATGAATAGAATGCACATAAAGTATTTCATTTAAAATTTAAATAATAATCTACAAATAATTTATATGATAGAAATTTTGTCTCAAGAAGTATAAGGCACTGTAAATCATAATTTTTTGTGTGCACAAACATTTATTAGCAGTCAATTACAGAAATACATGTACATGTACTTGCCACACACACACCAATATTTCTTATGCTACATAAAATGATTTAATGATTTGTTAACATTATGAAATGAAAAAAAGAACTAACAGCTAAGAATACTTTACAAGACAAGTTCTTGCAATGACAAAGCAATTAAGCAGATCTGCACTGAAGAATTGTTGCCTTTTCATGAATGATATTAATCAAAAAGTGCAAAGTATAAATATATTTTTGTTTTGTGTTACTGTATTTGTACTTTTAAAAAAACAGGCTCTAATATCAAAAGTCAGCTTTAAAAATTCGCTTTTTGGGGGGGGGATTAATTATCAGATCCTAAGCTTCAAGTAGGGGAATGCATATTTATTTTATTTCCACAAAGCTTTATCTTAAACTCTCTGGTTTGTATGGCCATTTTGTTTCAACCAGAGAACAACATTTCTAAAACTAGCTATATAGCTACTTCAAGCTTCGTGTGTATATTAAACCTAAAGAAGGAGATGGTTTCGGGTCTGATAACAATGGGATAATCAATCGAAAAAGAAAATTACCAGTCCCAGAAACTTTGTCGATGAAACTGGTCTCAGAAACTTTGTTGGTATCCCAAAGGACTCAAAAATAATATCAGCCATTTCAATGTGACAGCCTTTACAGGCTTGTCGTTTGAATCGTTAGAGCTACATAGTCTTCACCGATCAAAACAAAGTCAGGTGGGAGGAAATAAAACCACTTCCGGTTACATCGGGGAAAATCAGTCGTACATTACTCGATTCGTAGATATATCAAAATATTGTTAAAATGTGTTCATCAGCTGTATGAAAATAATGATTACGTTTAAAACACCCTTAAGGCATTTCTCCGATCTTCCAGTTGGAGATTATTAAGGACAGATGATACAAACAAAAAATGGATGCCTGGATTGGTATATATTTTTTGGCCTAATTAATTTCTATATAAAATAAAAAAAATTGTAAATCTTCTGTGATGTTCAAAAGTATGCCCTTTTGAAACCATCCTTGTTAATCTATACAAATAATTTTCACTTCAAATTCCATTTTTGTGCAAATTTGAATAAAAAATTAAAAACTACGCGGTGAAAATTATTCATTTTACTCATTTAAATATGACCCAACTTGTTATTTTCAAATTCTTTGACAAAAGTTTGTTTGTATCATCTGTCCTTAAGTACTACCTAATTCTAGGTAACACGCAGTAAATTTAAAATTCTTATGTTTTACAATGATGACCCAGTGAGGTAAACTTCATGAATAATAAAAATGATTGCTAAATTTTTCACAATTTTTACTTCAAATATTTCATGGATTATTGTGATTTTCCTCTTTGCATATTTAAAGCATAACAAGCTAATTCAGAGAATGTGTGTCTCCCGCTTAGGGAAAAAAGTAAACCATGCGCAGATCGGGGGAGGGGGGTGTCGGACCCCCCCTGACTGAATTTGTAGAATATTAAATCTATACATGTATACTAAAGTAAATAAAATACCGGTATGCCAATATGGAAATAAAGATTTGTGCTTATTCTTTATTACGTGTGTAGAAGATTCTCTTTATATAGAGAATATTTATCAGACTGTAACAATGATTTTATGAGTGTGTACAAACCAGACGTCATAACTTTTTCATTTCACATGCTGAATAGTGAATACTATCATTTAGTTAAAAGAAAAGTATATTTAAAAAAAGGGGGGGAAAACCCCCAGAGGGTTCTCGAGATATCGCGCGGAAATGAAAGTGAATTGCAAATTTATGACCTTGACCTTTGATGTTTTGACCTCAAAATCAATAGGGTTCTTCTTAAATAGTCCATAGAGAGTTGCTATGCAAAATTTCATCACGAAAGGGTTCTTGAGATATCGTGTGGAAACGAAAGCGTTACAGAGAGACAGAAAGACGGACGGAGAGCTAGAGGGACGGACGGATGGACAGACCCAAATTATATCCCCCACTTTTCAAGCGGGGGACAACAAAATAAAGATAAGTTAAAATAATTTGAAGAGAAAAATGATAGTTGTGCAATTTGATTATATAAATTCAATATATCATTTATATTAATGATAAAAATAATCAATAAACCTCGATTTCAATTTTTTAATCAGCTGTTGATTACATTTTTTTCATCAATTTACTTAAGAAAGGTTTTTAGCAGATTGATATTCAAAGAAGATGGGAGGATAAGGCGGGCAAATTGCCTATAGTGCGACAGATAAGAAGTGAAAAATTAAATCTCAATTATATCTAAATTTTATTTGATATTTTATCTAATAATAGAGTATATTTAATGTAAAATCTCTACAATTTACAGAAATCTCACAAAGACTGAAAATATTTGATATGAAAAAGCTTACTAAAAAGAACAAAAACGATCAGTTTTCTCATACTTTAACAAAAATTTTCAATATGAGTGGGTCTTCGCTCCATTTTTTGAAAGATGGTCCTAAAAGTTTGCAATAGAATATACAATTTTTGGTTTACAAAAACATGGAGCGAAGACCCACTATACCTTTTATACATCTTTCCGAGAAATACTTTAAGTCCATTAAAGTATCAGTCACATAATCCAGCGATGGGGTATACGATGAGAAACCGATGCGTTTTTTGATGAAAATGGCGTGGTTGCCGGCCGGGCACCACTAGTGATCGGACGGTGACTGAGGCGATTTTGCAAATCGGTGGGGTCATCGGTAGGAGATAATTCGTAGTTAAAATTCAGCGATGTCTCCAACGATGCCTCACATCGCTCCTCATCGGCAACCCATCATTAACACATCTTACACGGATCGGCCGATGTATGGCCGAGCATCGTCAATTGTCCGTTGAATTTGAGATCATCGGGGGGTTGAGTGGTGTTCAACAGATAACGGCCGATCATCGGTCGATGTTCGACCAAACATTGGCCCGTAGTCAACCGATGTTAGAACGATGTTCACCAATGTATAAGCGATGTAATATACATCGGCCGATTATCCTAGAACATCGTTTTATGATTAGCAATGCTTCGCTGGGCCTTTGTAAGTCCGGCCGGCAACCACGCCATTTTTATCATAAAACGCATTGGTTGCCCATCGTATATCCATCGCTGGATAATGTGACTGATTCTTTAAGGACTACTAGGCCGATGTGGACCGATGTTGGGGCATCGTTATCACCATGGATTACCACCGATTACCACCGGTCAACGGCCACCGGCCGGGAAATGTGACCTAGGCATTAGTCAAGGGTCATACCACAAACATTATTTAAATGCCCAATATTATCGTGAGCAATGTAGCATAGTGGTTATAGCGCGTTAGTCTCTATCTCAAAGCAGACCGATTCGTCGGATTTTTATTGCTACGGGTTCGAATCCCACGAATACCATCTAATATTTTTATGAAAGAAAACAAAAATTTACGATATTTTTTTCTCTCAGAAAAGGTATTTTTCTAACAATTTCATTAATTTCAATAATGAAAAGTTAATTTAAATACTAAATTCACATAATGAATATTATTTCTGAATATCTGACGCTATACACACTCTGCCCGCCTTGTTCCCCTATCTTCTTTTTAAAAATGTATATGCATCAATTTGTATACTTATAGGTACTCTTGAATTTCAGACAACTAAAAGATCTTTGCATATATATTGTTGCATTACTTAATTTAAAGAAAAGACTTTTCTATTAATAAACAATTTTAAAAAATTGCGTTATCAAAAATTTAAAACAAAGCCCGATTCAAAATGGCCAGAGTATGGTTATATAGAAATTCAATAGTTATTATTTATCATAAGACTGTATACGAGGTGCAAATCTTGGTATTCAATAAAAAAAATATTTTAGGCTTCACAGAAAATTGACATTGATGTTGTTTTAATGTTTGGTTTTCCTTCAATACCCCTGACATATATATTTACTTATTTACAAGAAACAACAAGTGCGCTGGCTCCCCCTGACTGATGTTTAGATTTATCATAAAGAAACAAAACAGTTGAAACTCCAGGTTTATCATCAATGTTCGCTGATAACAGAAAATGACCCATGGATTCTGAAAAACTCATTCTTGGAGAGTTTTTAAATTAATTACATTAGCTGGTCGTGCCAGCTGTAGATAATGTAATGACTGACTGGGATGCGACCTCACGCCATTCCGGGGCTGGATATTGTAAACTGTGTGCGATCAGCGGCCACAATTTACAAATACCGATATAGATGTATATAGATGTATATATGAAACTCTCAGCTCCCCTGGAAACAGGTGCAAACATTCTATAGATTCTCTTCCATTCATACTTTTGGTTTCTCGGACGACTCCCATCTCAGATTCTCCATTAACACTCTGGATGTGAAGTGACAAAATCGAAATGAATTTGATTGAAAGGTGAGTGCTAAATTTATCAATTTTGCTTATGTACAAATCAAACTCGTAATTTTAAGGACATTTTAATAAATTCTTTAAAAATATATTCCTAAGAACTAATCCTAACTTGAATTACATGTAACAGCATGGCTTCATTATCTGATCATATGCATGTTCCGTATCAAAATATTTCACATTAAATTATTTGTGAGAATGTCAGGCGAATTCGGTGTAGATAAATATGCAACTAGTGCTAATTGTAACGGGGACCGTTACAGATGTTCCCCAAACGCTCCCCAACTCCCTTTTATAGTCATATTCCCTGTAAGCGTAATTAAATAAGAAAAACTTTTTGCATTTGAGACTTTAACAACGTTTACCAAGAAGTGTACCATGTTCATTCAAATTTTATCATTGCACACTTGCGCATGTTAATGCATGTGCGTAATGACCATATCATATTCTCTACACAATCTATATATTTTAATATGCTAATTTTTTTTTTAATTTAATGTATTTAATCCAAAAGTATTAAAAAAAAAACGCTCATTCAAGTGTATTTTTGATTTTACCCATTTCACGTGCACGCACGTGCATACATGAGCATGGTGACCATACCTTCTTGTAGAAGTCCATTACATCTATCTGTTCTAAATCCAACCCCGTTTGATTGAAAACCAAGGAAGTTATAGCTGTTTAAAGTTTCAGCCAATCAGATTGCAGCATTCGTACACGCACGTGTATGCATGTGCATGGTGACCATACCTTCTTGTAGAAGTCCATTATATATATCTATCTTCCAAATCCAATCCTGTTTGGTTGAAAACCAAGGGAGTTATAGCTATTCAAAATTTCAGCCAATCAGATTGCAGCGCACGTGCATGCACGTGATTTCATGATAATTGCTATAATTCATTTTGTAGGATATCCTGATGCATGGCTATGTTCAAAATTTCAAAGGATTTCGTCAAAAAAACAAGAAAGATATTGAGACTTTAGTTTCAGCCAATCAGAGCGTAGCGCACGTGCATGCGCGTGAGATCTTGCCATATTGACCACGCCATCTTGTTTATACTAGTAATACATCCTTACGTTATGAGTTTCAAAACAATTCATCAAAAAATAGAAAAGTTACGCCAATATACATTATATTGGTCATTCACGTGTTGCACGTGCGCGCTCTCGCAAGCACGTGCGCGCAAAATGACCTTCATTCCGCAAATCTACATTACATGTCTACTGACCCTAAAAACATTTCACCTTAGCTGGATGTGTAGTTTACGAGATTATTCGCGGACAAAAAAGTGCCCAGGAAGAAGAAAAATAATAATAATAAGAAACAGAGTAAAAACAATATGTTCCCCAACTTCGTTTGGGGAACATAAAAATAGGCATTGCACGCGTGTTCATTTGCGTAACGACCATATTATCTTGTCTACACTATCTAAAATTTTAATATACTTAATATCAAAACATTTAATCCATAAGTATTAAAAAATACACTCATTCGAATGTATTTTTAATTTTACTCATTTTGCGTGCACACACGTGCAAGCACGTGCATAATGACTACACCTTCTTTTAGAAGTCCCTTATATATATCTATGTTCTAAATCCCATCCTGTTTCGTTGAAAAACAAAGGAGTTATAGCCATTTGAATTTTCAGCCAATCAGATTGCAGCACACATACATGCGCGTGATTTCATAAATTTTTATCTTTATCGTATTGAAGGGTATCTAAATGAATGACTATATTTTAAAATTCCAAACATTTCGTCAAAAAAAAAAGGAGATATAGCCATATAAAGTTTCAGCCAATCAGATTGCAGCACACGTGCATGCGCGTGATTTCATGATTTTTCCTATATCATATTTTAGGATATCCCAATGCATTACTATGTTTCAAATTTCAATGCATTTCGTCAAAAAACAAAGAAGATATAGCCATTTAAAGTTTCAGCCAATCGGATTGCAGCACGCGCGCATGCGCATGCTTTCATGGAAATTTTTATATATCATGCTGTAGATCTTTATAATGTAGGACTATGCTCAAAATTTCAAAAGATTATGACAAGAAACAAGAAAGATATTGAGACTTTAGTTTCAGCCAATCAGAGCGAAGCGCACGTGCATGCGCGTGAGATCTTGCTATTTTGACCATGCCATCTTGTCTATCCTACTAATGTATCCTTATATTATGAGTATCAAAAAAATTCTTCCACAAAAAGAAAAGTTACAGTAATTTCCATTATATTGGTCATTTCTCGTGTTGCACGTGCGCGCTCTTGCAAGCACGTGCGCGCAAAATGACCTTCGTTCGGCAAATCTACATAACATGTCTACTGACCCTAAAAACATTTTACCTTAGTCGGATGTATAGTTTACAAGATCACTCGAGGACAAAATTTTCCCAGGAATAATAATAATAATAATAATAATAATAATAAGAAACAGAGTAAAAACAATATGTTCCCCAACTTCGTTTGGGGAACATAATTACAGGACGTTAATTTGTTTGGGGGACACGTACTAACAGCATGTAACAGCTGATAAGTCCATGAATATCAAATTCTCAGCTCAAATTCACATATCTGTATCATTTCCTCTTTATTTAATAAAATAAAATACTACTGTAATACAAAAACGACTTAAAAACTAAGTGTCAACGTGATTATGTAGAGTAAAAGTAAAAAAAAAAAAGTGAAAACAATATAGAGTAAAGATGGGTATCTCAGAATTTGAAATCCATCTGCAACGTTTAAAAGTTCCAGTATATTTTGCAGATCAAAAAAGGGGGAAAGTTAATAAAAACATGACCTTCGACTTCCATTAATTATTAATTACCCCTTCTATATAACTTGAATATACTCTTTTTTTTTCACAACTATGTTTTTTACGGTTTTTAAAACATTACTAATAAATAACTCTCAAAAATGAAAAAAAAGAAAAGCTGTTATGCATCATTTGATGAAATCAATGAATTGTAATTGAAATATTAACATGCACATACTAAATAAGCTCTAGAACGTAAAACAATATTATAAATATGTAGAGAAAATTAAGAATGTGTTCAGTAAGTAAGCTGTGTTACAACGCACTTTGAAAAATTACGCACTTTGAACAATTTTTTCTAAGTGCGTTAAATTTGGGACCAAATCAACGGACTTTAAAAAATAAAATTTCTTTTCAAAGTGCGTTGATATCTACCATTTTAACGCACTTTAAAAATAAATGTGTATGGCTTGGTCAATATTCTTGAAAATCTTATGTATAGTAAATGAACCTGTATGATAAAAAAATTGAATATGTTGGATTACTTTTCGGTGATAAGGTCACTTCAGGATGTGAAAGTGAGCGATTTTGATTTTTTCATACTTTGAAAATTCTTTCTTAAATTTTTTACTTGTCTTATTTTTTTTTAGTTTGCATGCATTTTTTGTAAACTGAAATTAATTGAAAGTCAAACAAGCGTTTTGCAAAGATATACATAATATAATAATTTAAAATTGGGGCTTACCTTTGGTGTAGGGGGGGGGTTCCACTTTCAGTTTGCAACGTAAGTAAAAAAGAGTTGGTCTGAGAGACATACTATTATACACTCACCTTCTCCTTGTTCTCGATGAGGGTTTATCAATACATGTAAATTAAACCGTATTTCGAAATATATAATTATTACAAATTGTTTCTCTCAGTTACTAAAATCTAAGTCTAGAATTTTTGTTTTATACATATTTTTTTCAAAGTGCGTTAAATGTCCACATGGTAAAAATGTTGATGTACACTCTTAACGCACTTTGAAATTTTTTTTCAAAGTGCGTTGAGTGTGTCCCAAATTTTACGCACTTTGAAAATTTTTGTCAAAGTGCGTTGATTTTGTCCCAATTTTAACACACTTTGAAAAAAATTTCAAAGTGCGTAATTTTTTTCAAAGTGCGTTACCACAAAGCTTTCCTGCTTTTCCGCAATTTTATTTTATTGGCTTATATATCTGCATTTCCGCGATTAAATATATATTTATATTGTATTTTTGTTTGATATCCCGGCCCTTTTAAGGATTTTCAATGACCACGGGTAATGCTTAGCACTCAACGATTGACGATGCTTTATAACCTTGCCAAAAAAATAGTATAATTATAGTATCATTGTTGGTCACGGAAAAGCATTTTTTGGCGGGAAAACTGTCAAATGGTGAAAAAGTGAAACTACAGTTCATCAAAACGCTATTGATAATTGCTCTTAATTCTAGATAAGACTATCTTAATTTGATGATATAGAAAGAATTCACCATGAAAAAATATTTAAATCTTTTCAATTTTCATATGATCTATACAGTTAACAATGAAGCAGTTATTGTGATGCCTCTTTCTGAGAACGATTGTGCTGCCACCTACAAAGTTTTGATCGTGGGTGACGCTTACGTCGGTAAGACAGCGTTACTGAGATGTCTACTGGGATACGAGTTTGCTCCACAGTTACGACCCACCGTAGGTAAAGATCAACATGCATGCGAACATATTACATGCATTTCATTATTAATATATTCAATTTGTATTCACTACTGATATGTATTTAAATTGTTCCTTACAATCAACTTCTCTGCTATATTGTCATATTAAGTAAACCTCTTTTTCTTCCCCAGCTGTGGATTTTGTGACAAAACCGTTTGAGGTAGATGGAGCTCTGATCCAGATGATGATATGGTGAGTATTATCCCAAGAAAACCATTGTCAAACGACGTGCAGCCGAGGTATTATCCTGAATGTTTTATACAAATACATATTACAGTGAACCTTGCACGCCTAGATATTATTTTGAATCAGATATAAATGTATGTTCTTTGTACAAAGAAAATTAAATTTATCGTGAATTCAATTGCTTTACAAAGGGATACTGCTGGACAGAGAAGATTCATGTCCATGACAAGACAACAGTACAAAGAGGTCAAGGTAAGTCAACCGGTCAAGGTCAGAAAACAATCTAAACGGGCAAGGTAGCTATAGAGGTTAGACAACAAAACTTAAAACCACAGATGATTTATGTCCCTGACTAGATAGCAGTTCAAAGAAATCAAGCTTAAACAATGGTCCTAGAGAGCAGTTAAAAAAATAAGTTTAGACAATAAGACCTGGCAACAGTACAAAGAGGTCAAGGGAAACAACAACTCAAACAGAATGAAAAGATCAAAGTTGAAGGCTCATAAAGTATAACAGCACACGGAGGTCAAGGTCAGCTTATCAGGTCAGGTGTGATAGGCAATCTGGTATAAAATGAATCTTCATTATTCCATTTTGTTGTCCCTAATGAGGCCATGTTAGCGACATATCGTTAAAGGAGAACGAGGATCTGATTTTTTAAATCAGTTTGGTGTGACGGAAATGCAACAGAATAAAAAGGGCAACTCTATACGAGGGGTGATCAAAAAGTTCGCAAACTAATTGAATAACTTCCATACAAGAAACAATATTTGGTTTTAATGTTGATTATATTTTAAATTAATCCTCCCCGATTTTAATGCACATCAACCACCGTTCTGCGCATGCGCGAATCACGTGATATTGGCGGTCACGTGACCCCCTCCGTAGCGTTCTGTCACAAAAGTTAAAAGATTTTTCCGAGTTTTATATTTCTTTCCATGTGAGTTAATTTTTATGACAAGAACAGTTAATTTGTCAGAAATGGTCATATCTCGGCAACAGAATGGGTGGATAATAACATCCTTTCCAAAAATAAGCATGGCGACCATTAAAACACAAATCTTCTGTCTCAGGAGAGACCTTTATTCAAGGTGGATAGAGAATGGGTGCATCCTTTTTATCATATCTAATATGTTTAAAATCTAAAGTAAACGATATCTTAGGTATTTAATACTTATATCATTGTTCAAATATTCAACTATTTTTCAAAGTGCTAATTGGAGTTCTTTGATAGCAAATTGCTTAATTAAAAATACATATCTTTTCAAACTTGCTTTCACTGGGCAAGATGACAAGTATCATTTTTAACCATCAGCCTTCCTTCACTAAAACGATTAATCCAATCAATTAAATTTATAGGAACTCATTTATCTCATTAAACTGTGTACAAATTATTATATGATACTGTAGAGGGATTTCTAAGATATTACAATAAATTGTACAGTCGTTTTTTGAACGAGTTTGACTGAGACAACCATTTTTCGTCACAAGTGACCTAAATAGTGACGTCATTTTCACATTGTGACGTCACAAACAAGGAGAGAAACTTTATTCAGCATATGCTGTTTATAGACCTTGTGTATGGCTATGTGTGTACCGAATTTCATTCTAATCTGAATTGTGGTTTTGTAGATATAGAGATAGTTTGCGAACTTTTTGATCACCCCTCGTAGATTTACATTTCTAAATAATTTTCCTTAAGATTCTTTGCAAATAGGAAGACTGTTCATTTTCTCATGAACTACCGATGGATGAACATGAATATCTCCATTGTTACATCAAAATACTGCACTTTACGTCAAAACTATAATGCGAACTGTTTTGCTTTAAAAATGACAGTTGAATGGAATAAATTCTGTTGCAACTCAACAGAAAAATAATGTAAATATAAAAAAATGATTTTAATTTTTGAAGATTCATGAGATTTAAGTACTACAACGCTTCACGCCGTTATATTTATCATGAAGCTAACGCGCTTCATGAAATATGATGGCTTGAAGCGTCGTAGTTCATTACCTCATGAATCTTCAAAAACTAAATTCATTTCTTGATTAAAGTCAGCATAAAACAACATAACAGAGCAGGCAATGAAATACAAGAGAACATATACCGAAGAGTCGAAAATCGGTAAAATAAGTAAGTTAAGGACACACTAATTCCACATACATGTTCAAGTGAAAACAAATACATTGCCTTCAGCTTATATCATTTCTCATTAGGTTACCGAGGACATCATTAGTATTGGATTCAATTAATCATGCTATAAAACTGTCAGTGACTGAAATTCAGTCAGCATGATCCACTGTCTTCCATTGACCTGCGATGTAATGTTCAGTTTCTTGTAATTACATTGTAGATCCTCAATATACAGATCAAGTAAGGGTTACCTCTCTTAGATCTATGCGACTTCAGTCAGAGTTTGTTCATACCAGAGTGTGTGGTATATTTCTAATTTTTACTCGAATACTTGTCTTTTAAAAACTACTGCAGATGCAAGGAAATCTAAAAAAGCACCATTATCCATGTAGTTCTTGGGTAAATGTGGTCAGCCTGAGACACCCGAGATACTAATGTGCCTACCAAGGTCCATACGCCTCTTTTGTCTGAAGGTTATCATAGTTATATATTGGAATTTCAGAAACTTGACAATAAATTTATTTCACTGTTTCAGATAGTCACTGTGTTGTTTCTTTATTATAAAAACTCTGTGCTTCAGGGGATCGTTGTGTTGTTTCTTTAATATGACACTGTTTAAGTAGATGCTGTGTTGTTTCTAATTTATAACACTGTGTTTCAGGAGATCGCTGTTTTCTGTGCTTTCTCGGCTATTGTTTTATTTTTACTAATTAATGAAGCCAAAATTCTCTTTTGCAACGCTGTGTTTCAGGGAACGTCTGTATTGCTTCTATAACACTGTGTTTTAGTGGATAGTGATGGTTTTTCTATATTATACATGTGACAATCTGATTCAGGGATCGAGGTGGTTTTTCTATATCATACATGTAACACTTTGCGCCACATTACTAGCAGACCTATACTTTGGTATTCATATGAAGCAGGATTTGTGTAAAATCTTATGCGTGAAAAGACGAAAAACACTTGCTATAGTCTTCAACTTCAACGACGTATCGTCAATTAACAATTGTGGTAATTTCCATTCTTATGTCGATACGATATATGCTGATGAACTTGAGATAAAAATTACTACACACATCTGTTTCATATTTGAATATTTTATTTGAAAAAGACGTTAATGGTAATCTAACAACCAAGCTCTATGATAAACGTGATGACTTTAACTTTTCTATTGTCAACTTCCGGTACTTATGCAGCAAGATACTTTCATCACCTATATACGAAGTTTATATATGAAGGATATGGAGATAACGAACAGTATTCAATCTCAAAGTCCATAAAACAATACAAATTAAGAGCAGAGCAAACAAACACGGACCCCCGAAAAATCAGAGGTGATATCAGGTGCCATGGAGAGTGAGCATCGCTGCCGACCGGTCACACCCGCCGTGTGCTCCTTGTCATGATCAGGAAATAACGAAGAAATCTGTCGATACGATATATCCTGATGAACTTGAGATAAAAATTACTACACACATCTGTTTCATATTTGAATATTTTATTTGAAAAAGACGTTAATGGTAATCTAACAACCAAGCTCTATTATAAACGTGATGACTTTAACTTTTCTATTGTCAACTTCCGGTACTTATGCAGCAAGATACCTTCATCACCTGTATACGAAGTTTATATACGAAGGATATGGAGATAACGAACAGTAGTCAATCTCAAAGTCCATAAAACAATACAAATTAAGAGCAGAGCAAACAAACACGGACCCCCGAAAAATCAGAGGTGATATCAGGTGCCATGGAGGAGTGAGCATCCCTGCCGACCGGTCACACCCGCCGTGTGCTCCTTGTCATGATCAGGAAATAACGAAGAAATCCGTCGTCAGTTCAGTGTATAAATAATGGACTAACAATTGGTATGAAAAACTTCAGTCAGCATTTGACACAATGATAAATTGTATTTGCTGACAAGGTCATTGTATCGACCATAGAACTTACGAAATGATGACTTTAAACGAGACTGCTGATATTCTTGTTTCATCAACTTGCTTGTCAATAATTTACATCGTTTCAGAAATTGTTCATACGTATCGACGTAGGAATGGAAATTACCATTGTTAATTGACAATACGTTGTCTCTCAGTTGATTCTATTTGCAAGAGCCTGCTCTACGTATGTATGAACAATTTCTAAAACGAGGTGAAAAGAGGTGAATTATTGAAAAACAAGTTATTGATACAAGAATTTCAGATGCCTCGTTCAAAGTTATCATTTCGTAAGTTCTATGGTCGATACAATGACCTTATCAGCGAATACAATTTATCATTGAGTCAAATGTTGACAGATATTTTTCATATTAATTGTCAGTCCATTATTTATATACCGAATTGACAAAGATTTCTCCGTTATTTTCACGACAAGGAGCACAAGGCGGCTTTGACCGGTCGGCAGGGGATGCTTATTCCTCCATGGCACCTAATCCCACCTCCAATGTTTTGGAGGTCCGTTTTTGCTCTGCTCCTATTTTGTGTTGTTTAATGGATTTTTGATCTTGAATACTGTTCGTTATCTCGATATATTTCATTTCAGGGGTTTATGGTGGCTTGTCTTTATTGAAACACTTTGTTTCAGGGGATCGCGGTGGTTGATCTTTATTAATATAACAATTTATTTTAGGAGAATTGTTGTGGTTTTTCGATAACATTGTGTTTCAGGGGATCACCGTGTTTTTCTATTTTATAATCCTTTGTTTCAGGGGATAGCTGTGTCGTTTCTATATTATATCACTGTTTTAGGAGAATTCATGTGGTTTTTCGATAACATTGTATTTCAGCGGATAGCGGTGTGGTTTTGTTTTTGCTATGCTTTTAACACTTTGTTTAGGGGATGATCACTGTTGTGTGTCTCTACTATAACGCTTTGTTTCAGGAGATCACGATGGGGTTTCTTTATAATTACATTCTATAATAAAACGCTTTCTTTCAGGGAATCGCAGTGGTGTTTGACATTTCAGACAGGTCTACATTTACACATCTCTCCTTCTGGCTGGAAAGCATCAATAACGTAAGGATGTCATTAATTCATAAACAACATTTTAATTTAGGTTAACAGAGTTCATATATTCATGTACATAATGAATTACGAATTATATGTCATTGAGATATATTTCTCAATCAATATTGGTGTTTTAAAGAAATCGAAGAGGCAAAAATGGCTGAACAAATATACAATTATGTCCAAGGATGTACAAGTTTAAGGTTATGGCTATTTTAAATACATGTATATCGTTTAATGTAATCTCTGTGTTTTCCGATATTAGCTTATAATTGATATTAATCATTATTTGTTTCATTCAATAGTGCGTTTCGAATTTTGTGTGTAATTATGAGTCGGTGCCGATAATCCTGATAGGTAACAAAGCCGACCTCAAAGAGCGCAGAGCGGTGTCAATTTCTGAAGCTAAAAAGGTAACAAGCGTATTGATTGTTTTATCAGTGCTCTCCAATACAGAACAGACACCAAATTAGATATTGATTACATTAACAAAGTAGTTCGTTTGGTTATTGTTGTTACATTAAAATGAATCAATTATACGACTATAAATGTTGATGGGATTAATTAATTTTTTTAAGAGAACATCTCAATGGTATACTAGTACAAGAATCATGAAAAGATATAATCTCACTCTTCATCATGTAATTATACCCCCGCTCCAAAGTGAGAGGGGGAATACTGTATTATCCTCGTGCGTTTGTTTGTCGATCTGTCTTTTAGTCGTGTGCCTGTCCAAATATAAAATTAGTAACAGTTTTCTCAGCAACTTCTCATCGCAGATGTTTGTGAAATTTTAACACATTCTTATAGTTTAGTCATATGGTGAGAGTTATTTTTGAACGAATACGATGTCAACTTCCCGTTTATCTGTGTGTATATCCGTACCAAATTTCTATCGCAGTTTTCTCATGCAGCAGCTAATCATGGCAGACGTTTGAAATTTTAGCACACTCTTTGCTTTGCTATGCTTTATATTGGGAGTCATTTCAGTACGGCTCTGATCGTATTCATCTGCTTTTCTCTAAATTTACCAAAGTTTTGTTGCATTTTTTTGTAGTTTTGCAGTACAGATGTGACTCAATATAGTCTTAGTTTAATTATTTTAGAACAGCTCTATACAAACTTACCTAGCCTGTTAGCATTGAAGATCACGAAAGTGTTTTAAAAGCAAGCTGACCTTTTTTTTTTACTTAAAAAGAAAACTCGATATTGCAAAAATATGATTTGCCAGTTTTCTCTTCAAGAAGTTCGTGAAATTCCAGGATTTTTGCTGGCGTTGCCATTTAAGTTTGCACATTTTTTTTCAATCCAAATTCATTTACTGTTCAAATTTGTGTTGCCCCACCAACATTAACAAACCTAGGTTTTGTTACCTTTTATTGTGCCATTTATACACATAATACAATAGAAAGCATCGTCGGAAACCCACGGCTGATTACGCTTCGTTCGAAGCGTAATCAGCCGTGGGTTTCCGACGATGAATAGAAAGTGATTATTGCAATTTTGTGATAAACAATGTTTACCCTAAAGGGTAATAAGAATATTGAAACAAAATATGAATGTTAACATATACAAATAAAATGCTCTATGAATGTATATTTATTTTCCATTCTCAGTTCGCAAACAAAGAGATGGCTTTTGATTATTTCGAAACCAGCGCTAAAACAGGGAACAATGTTTTTGCTGCCTTTCAGAAATTAGCATACCACGTGACAGAAATTTGTAATCCACAAGTGGTAAGTCACAGTGCAAGATTTAGAAAAGAAAAATACAAGTGGCTCGATGTAAAATATTCACGTACACTCTTTTAAATCTTGGTTATTAATATGTATATGTAACAATGATATAATTTATGAAATATGAGATATTAGCATTTGAAATATATTTGGTCCTTAGGTAAGCAATAACCTGAATAAACATCAACCATTTTATTCTGTTTTTAAATGCTATGTCTTGAAAATAGAAAATATACAGAAAACTTGGATAAAATGATCCACATAGAATGAATACATGACGTTTTAGTCCATAATCAAAGGGTACAAGTTTTCTTGATCTTGTTCTAATAGCTTATAATGAAATTAAAAGCAGTCAGTCAACGACAAAGGTTGATTAGAGACGAAGACAGAGCATCAAACAGACAAAAAAAAACTTACTTGACTCTCTCCAGACACTAAGTATATTTGATAATAATTAGAATATTTGAAAATAAAGCATACACATTTGTTGACTTCTTTGAATTAACATATATTGTACTGATTAATCATGTTAATTGCTTTATTGTTGTAAAAGTACATAAATTTTATAATGTTTGCACTGCATACTCGTCACATGAAATGACATGATATGTTGATATGAGTTGACTTTTATTGAATTGATAAAGAAATAGAATTCTTCTTACGGTTGATCATGACTAAATATGAACCTTTTTATTGCAGATGAAAAGTTATCATCCACACATGTTACGGCCACCGGAAGTACTGGAAAGAGTTGCAGTGAAAAAATCAGCAATGTCATGTAAAGTTGAAAATGTCACAAGAATTCCGGAAAAGTTCAAACCAGTGGGTCAGCTGAGGACCTCAATGCGGGGCGGAAAATACAACTTCCGGGTCCGGAAGCGGAAGAAGAAATATGCTCAATGTTGCTCAATCCAGTAGAGATCGGTTTTCATTTCATCATGATTTAGCCGTCTGCTTTAGCTTTCTGCCATATAGTTTCGTAAACGGAAAATGATTTTATCTCTTATTTGTACGAATCGCAAGAATGATGAACTGTTTGCATGTTATTAAAAAGTGGGAATTACATTACTTTCTTTGTTACACACTGTGTCGTGTGATATTTTCATGATCTTTGTATTTTCATTTTTTCTTAAACTGTATCATCATAGGATTTTTACATGTGTATAATATAAAGAAAATTTTGTAACGTTTTGAAGAGTTGAAATAGACATCATAGGGAAGATCATAATTTCCTCAATAAATAGCTTAATTACAGTTTCATATATCTATTTTTAGAAAAAATATTCCAGGACTTTTGTGTTATTGTCATTTATATTTTGTTATCATTTTTTTGTTGAATTATAAAGAGTCCACATGAATTTAAAGCCTACCTCACACAAGGGCCCAGACACTGAGGTACTTTTAATATTGATCTGTTGTTGCGTTGTAGGATCAATTCAGCTTCACAATAAAAATCTTCTTACTTCAACTTGAAATTAGGCATTTAAGCAAATGAAAAGTTTTAAGAAAACAGACAATATAAAAGAAATCAGCATTAATCTAACGTTGTACACAGTGACATATTGTGTTAATGGCTCTGTAGACAACGGATCGCGGGCTATCATAGAGGGAAAACAAACAATTCCATTAGCACCAATTGTTTACTTTATCCACATTAAACAGTTTTCCCGGGGTCTATAAAGATTAATTTTGCAATGTCTCCGAACATTAATTAAAATCCAGTATAATTATGCTTACCACATGCAAAAGTTTCCCCTGCTGGTATCAATTTATTCAATGCTTATTAAGTTATTCAATTGAATAGGGGGTTAATCGATTTAACAAGATCAGAGATTCCCCTTTATATTTGGAATTGTTTAATAAAATATTTGCACAAGAAAAATATTTACCCTGGCATCATCAATAAAGTGTACAGAGTTTATGAAAAGTTACAAAATTAGAAATATGGATGTTTCCAGACAAATTTCGCAACATTTTAACAAAACAATATCAACCATTGAATTTATTAATCTGGGAGTTTGAAATTGGATCATTCTCTTGTAACTAAGCCCTCCGTACACGGATTCAGTATTATTGCGATGTTTGTTTTAAATATTTAAAAGATTTGTCAGGCACGTGCTGCCGGAGTAAAATGTCTGTATTTGTTCTGTAGATTGGCGGAATTGATACCAGTTCCGTTTAAATATTTGCCACGGCTTGTGTTTGGGGACAGACTTGTGCAGGTTGTATTAAATATTTGTCAAGAAATGCCGCACTCAGGGACGGGTGTTTTAATCCTATGAGGAACTGATCGCTGGAGATAGGCCATCGTCGCCAATGATCCGCTTCGTACCTCACTATTGAGCGATGACTCCAAACTCATTCCTATTTCAAACTTTTCTATTTAAGGAGTATAATAGATCTATTCAGTAGGTGTTCCTGTATTGTTTGACATAGTAGTCCAATCAGCGGGTTTTCTGAGGTGTTAGCGGGGAGAGATACCATTGTATCAGGGTAGTACGTGTCCCCCGTCCACACATCGTACGGGTTACACGGGGATCATCGGATTTCTACCGGGGAGGAACAAAGGGTGACTTTTACGTGTATCTTCACGGGTACTTAACGGATAAATCCGCTGTCACCGATTGAGTTATATATAAATACATAAACGCAGTGATACACAAAAGTTCAAATAATGGAAATGTGAAGAAGTTTTGAAAGCTTTCAACAAGAAAAGTAAGTACACTAAATATGGAATTGTCAACAACAAGAAAATTGTAAACCATTAGTGTCATGTAACAATGCAACATTTTAATAATAATAAAAACAATGTAATTATTTTATTTTTACTAATTTTGAATATAGTGTTTTTAAAGCATGTCAAAATGTTCACAATATTGAAAGGTTGTTCTTGGTTGAACTAGAATAGATACTTCGCATGAATTTTGTATGAAATTAAGCCGTAATTTATTTATTTTTTGTTTATATGTAAAAATATTTTTAAAATGAAGCTTTATATTTTTTTAAATTCTTTTGAAATATAGAGTAAGTTCAAATTTATAAATGATTAGTTATTCATTGGACAAAAAGGTTAAAAATATGAAATATAAAATTAGGGTGAGTTCTGGAGTTGGGAAGTTACAAAACAAAGTGCAAGATTTTCTCAGAGAGGATAGTGCTTAAAAATATAATTATCTTCAGAATTCTATACTAGTTAGAAATCAAGCCAAATTTTTTTTGTAAAGTCATGGCAATGATTTATAAAGATTTGATCCTTGCATTAAACATGTTAAATGATATTGAATGTGATAATATTCGATACCAGAATGTAATTAACATTTCGAGTCAAAAGAACTCCCCCTCGGAGGAACAGCTATTCCAACTGATAAAAGAAAATCTCAGGTATTGTAACAATGCCTCGTAGAAACTTTTCACTCTTTATGCAATATATTTGTGAGATATTAGCCCGCCTAAATAAAGGCATACAATCAAACTTCAAGGTGATTTTAAAAACGGAATACACGTCTCTTGTAATTAAAAATTGGACTAGATATGACATTAATTGATTTTTACGGAACACAAAAAGCAGCATTTAAATCGTTTTAAACTAAATTCAAATAGTTGACAATTTACTTTATCGACATGCATCGATTAATACTAAAGGGAATCAGAGATATTTAAAGAACTTGCTTTCTGCTAATTTCATTAAAGATAGCACAGTTTGAATGATTGGCTTCAAGGTGAGATTCTGATATTTTTACAGGTACAATTATGACCATAGATAATCAGGAAATCGCACTTGTTCTGGCACGGAAAAGGGATGAAAAAGTTTTACAGAAGGAGTTATCAACGATTAAAATAGAAAAACACAATTCTGTGGCCGACATAAAACGATGTCAGAAAGAAATGAAAAAACGGCTGAAAAAGATACGAGATAGGCAAAGAGAAATACAAAGGTCAAGGACAAAGATAGAGGAGCCACAGGAAGATGCGGACTTTGGCATGCCTACCGTTCCGGTGTCTGTCAAATCACAAGCCCGACCAAAAACCGGACCGCCCTCTTCATTGAGGAATAAGGTGTCAAACTTTTTCAAACCCAGACTTGAGCTAAATGACCCGGAAGTAGAAATAGATCCATCCCTTGTGTCTGATCAGACTAAATCCAAAATAGACTTAAGACCAGCAACGGCGCGTGCACTGATGGAAGATAAGTCTCTCCTAGATAGGTGTCGCTCTGCCGGAAGGTTAGGAACGAAAGCTTCAGAGTGTAGGTATTTCGATCCCGACGAAATTAACGACAGGAACAAATTTTACAATGGTCTAGTAAACAACTGGAAGCGCACTGAAAAGGAAAACTACAATAACATTGAAATGAGAGTGGGTCAGTTCTTGGGTCAAAATGATGAACTGTTGAATCGCCGAGTATTGCGATCCAACTTTTTACGGCAGACGGATGTTCCCGTGGTTCGGAGAAAGAAAACTTCAACTTTGGAGACGCATTACTCGTCCTCGCCTCACGTAAGACCCGTCTCTTCCGGAAATGACTTCCGGCCTCCTGATAGAGTCTTCAAACACACTGCTCTTCCACAAAGAGTGTTGTCGGCGGCCATTAGTAGCCGGCAGCCTACAGAGATTCGTTCTCGCGTGAGGCCGTTTTCTCATAAATGACTTACTTTATCGCAGTCATATTGACTTTTTATCTACATTGTTTAGGAATTACAAAATTAATATTGGAAAACTGAATCGTTTTTGTTTACAAAAATATTTATTTTATGAGTTATATGACATTCTACATGGTTTTTTAAATGTAACTCATATCTTACATTGAACACGTTTATCTGTGAGACATCGTCTTATAGAACTGTCTTCCTCCCATTATCCGGGAGCATTTGTTATGCTTATGTCACATTGAAGCCGATTTCCAAAAACGGTCATTTTTCCTATCGTCCGCTAAAAAAAAATGATATTTCCGACACTAGTACATAATCATCGGCCATTCTCTTGCCCGATTTTAACATTAATTTCTAGGCAAACCAGAGAATTTATAAGTTAAATATTTAATAGTAAAGTATCAGTCACATTAACCAGCGATGGGTATACGATGAGAAACCGATGCGTTTTTTATGAAAATGGCGTGGTTCGACAATAAGGGTGTTCAAAACCACTAGTAAAATCGGACGGTGACTGAGGCCATTTTGTGAATATTTAACCTGTTGGATACATAACACAAACAATGTTCGATGCATGGATATATATTTTTTTAAGGGAAATAACATAAATAATTAATCTGTAAGATATAAAGCAACTTGCATCATTAACACATCTATTTGTCGTTTTTTTTATGCCTATACAAAATTTTGCACACATTTTCAACATTGAGTCGCAAGGTCAAAATTCTGCTATTTTGCCTTGCAATCATTTCTCACGTCATAATCGAGTATAGAATCTATGAAAAATAATGCTCATTTCTACCAATGAAAAAAGATTTTTTGTGTTATTTATCCAATATATGGTGTTCCAATGAATTAATATACATGGCCAATTACCCCGGAACACCGTTTTATGATTAGCAATACATTGTTCTTTCAGGCGACAAGACCAGAAAAAACCACGCCATTTTTATCAAAAAATGTGACCTAGGCATTAGGTCACATTAAAACCCATCGCTGGATAATGTGACTTTAATTTATGACCTCGTAGGCTGAAAAAAACAATGTTGGGGCATCATGCGTAGGGCGACGGGGATTACCAAATTAATTCTACGGAACACCGGGAAGCATTTATAAGTTACATATTTATTAGTAAGACAACCATCGCCCGATCATCGTTCGCGGAGCTGCAGTTTTATTTTCATCGTCGATCGACATTTACAATTACAAATGTCGACCGCCGGACGACGGAATTTAAAAACTATATGCCGATAGTCAGATGATGATCTAGGGTAAAAAGTCACATTTCCAAAAACGTATCAACGGCCGACGGGTTTTGAAGAAATGGGATTCCTGACAGTCGTCTGTTACACATTTTAACCAATTTTTTGGTCGGCCGACCAATTTTGTGATCGGTCCAAGTTATAATTTTTCATGCGTCGGTGGCCGATTGCTTCAACTGCAGTGATCCGACGACCAACCTTCGATCATCGTCCGACCATAGGCGGTCAGTTTATTAAGTCGGTCGTCCGTCGTTGGACAGTAAGAGTGTTGAACATTTAGGCCGACGGTTAAAATCAATCTGTAGCTTAGAGCTCGATGATCGGGGCGATTTTGACTTGTGAATATTTAACCTATTAAAGATACATAACACAAACAAAATTATGATGCATGGATTGTAAATTTTTTGAACGGAAATAACATAAATAATTAATCCGTAAGATATAAAGAAATTAAGTATTCTTTCCTGCTCAGATAAGCACCATTTGTCGTTTTTACAGGGTTAGGGTTAGGGTTAACCTTTTTACGTGTTCATTGTTGCACACATTTTTTTCACAATTTTATAAGATTCTGCCAATTTCTTGAAAAATTACTCACGTCACCTATCTGAATATAGATCTGTGAAAAATATTGCTGATTTCTAAAGAAAAAAAAGTTTTTGTGTTATTTATCCAAGTTATCGGTGTCCCTCGGAAATAATGTGACTGCTGTGTCGCCCGATACTTTTGGCCGACAGTTGAGCCGACAAGACCAGAAAAATTTAGTCGCCCGACCATCGGCTTAAATGTGACCTAGGCATAAGTCGATAGACTACCTCAATTGAAGAAATCAGCTACGAGCTCAAACAAATTATTACATGTGAGTGACACATAATTGGTCGGCCGAGGAAAATTGAGGTTGAAATCGGGCAAGACAATGGCCGATGAACTGCCGATTGCCTCTCGGAGTATCTTAATTTTGCCTAAAAAATCATCGGTTGTTGGTCGTTTTTGGAAATGTGACTGGGGTTTATGAATGACCACGGCCACGGGCAAAGAAAAATAATACTTGGCCCAACTGACACAAAATAAGTCATCCGACGAAAATGGGATTGAAATTGGGCAAGACAACGGCCTCAAGATCAGAAGTCCATAACATACTATTTTTATATAAAAAAATTGGCCGTCGATCGTTTTTGAAAACGTGACTAGGGTCACTTTCAAAAAACACCAACGGCCGTTGGGAAGCAAAAGTGGAATTTTTCGGGTTACAGTTTACAGTTTGTCGGCCGATTTTGACCTCTTTTTTTGTCGGCCGACCAATTTTGTGTCACACCCGCCAAGTTATAAATTTTTCTGCGTTGATTGCCGATTTCTTCATCGGGAAGCAATCCGTCGACCAACCTACGATCATTGTCCGATCATCGGCGGTCAGTTAAGAAACGATCGTCCATCGTTTGACAATGAGGTGTTTACAAAATTTCGGCCGACGGTAAAAATCAAACTGTATCTCAGAGCTTGATGATGAATTGACTTATAAATATTTTACCTTGTCTGCAGCTATGAATGGCGTTTCAATAAAACAATACCAATATAAATAATGTATAGCTTTTTATATATTTTTTTTGAAGAAAAATTTGAAAAGGACAAAATAAACAAAGATACCCTTTGAGCCCCATCAATGTCTTGTTTGAATAATGCAACAGTTTATCATTTGAAAACCATTGTCACCCTGCCACAAAATGAGAATTGGTTCTAAGTGATGGAATACACAGAGGTCACAGGCAGGTCAGAAATATATATCAATTTCCGATTTTTTTTTCGAATTTTCATTTTTATGCAAATTTTATGACCATATTGCTGTCTTTCCATGTAAATATAGTGAATCAAGAATAGTTATATAAAGGAAGAAAACTAGAAAAATACATTTATTATCAAACTAATTGATGCTCTTACAGGTGTTTAACCTCAATTGAACTTCCTTAAATATAGTTTCCACATTTTCTTAGAAAACGCTTTCTGAGAATTTCATTTTTGAGTCCACAATTTAGTGAAAACAGAACAATAACGAAGAAAATTCAAGAACTTATTCACATTGGACAATACATTACAATAAAATGTGCACTATCCCCGGTTAATTCTGAGGTAATACACGTCACATAGACTACATACACAAGATATAATCTATCATACAGTGTACAGAAGTATATAAAATGATTTAAATTTTTATCATGAATGTCATTATGAAAAAAGTGTTTTAAACATACTTAAATAAATTTTGCTTTTTCTACCTACTAGAAAATGAAGTATTTAAGACGCGAAGAAACGCGCTCAAAGAACATCACAATGAGCAATGAAAATACTAATATGCTAAGGGTTAAGACCGCATTCTAACTTTCAAAAATTTTAATTGGCAGTGTTAGGAAAATTTCTTTCAATTTGCAAGTGTAATTGGTGTATGTGTTTTACTCACACTTGTGACATAGCATATTTTTAAGGAAGTGTTTGTGCTCTTCGTAAAATATGCTAACGTGACAAGTGTGTGATTTACTCCGGGTACATTCCAATTGTACTTAAACCCCCCCCCCCCAAAGAAACAGACCTTACGTACATGTATAAATATAATTAGACTTTATTGACCTGTTCCGGTTCATCAGATGATTTTTTAGCTCTATTGAGCTGTTCCGGTTCATCAGATGATTTCTTAGAGAGTTTCGTGGACGTCGTTTTACCTTCTGATGACAGTGTTACGGTACGTAACATTTTAACGAGTCTGCTCTCTGTAAAGTACAACTTAAGCTGCTGTCGAAATTGTGTTGACGTGAGAACGTAAAGATAGAAGTTAATGCCGTAATTGATTTGCTCTAGTATCTGGGATACATCACGAAAAATCAAGAAACCTTTTGGATTATCTCCAAAACTTTTCATTCCCATGTAGAAAGCTATGTTATGGAGTGTAGTTATAGGCAGAACCAGGAGGAAGTAGGCCACGACGATCCCAATCAACATGGCGGTGGTTTTAGTTGCCTTGGAGTCGTCGTTCTTAGTGGCGGATGTAAGACGTTTACGCTGTTGTCGGTGCCTGGCAAGTTTGAACACAATTAGAGGGGTGACCGTGGCCAGGATACAAAGCGGAGCTAGCGAGTACAAGGTGGAGCCAGCGGTCAGCATGGCCTTGTACGTCTCTGCCTCGGAACGGTCTTTCTTGTCAAAATAGTCGGGATAACATTTTCCGTCTTCAAGGACTTCAGAATTTCTTGTCCAAACTCCATTGAAAGACCCGATTACTAAATACACGCAAATAATCTGCAAAATTGCCGATTTCTTTGTTGAAATTATCTTTGCTTTCAATGGAAACCATACTGCAATAAATCTTTCGACGCAGAGACAGACGACAAACCACGATGACGTCATTTTTCCGGTGCGAAAAAACCAGAAAAAGACTTTACAGCCGACGTCGGATAATGCCCTAACATCAACACCTAACATTTTTATGACAAACATCTTATTGAAAGGTTGAGTTAGAAGAAGAGTGATGTCTGACAGAGCCAGGAAAATCAGGTAGAATCTGGAGGTCAGCTGCTGGAACTTTGGTGAACTCATAATGATGATTGTGAGGATGTTTCCCCCGATCCCTAGCACGAGCATTGTGGGTAGTAGAACGTAGTTTACATACGCCAGTCCCTCCAGTACGTCATCGTAGACAGTCCAGGATCCCTGGGGGAGGCTCTGGTCCTGTAAACAGCCGCTTGAGTTACAGGACAGGCTGGAGTTTACAGATGTGTCTGTAGAAGTGTTGGACATTGTCAAGACCTTTTGCGTCTTCTGTCACACTGTTCCGGCTATGAGATAAAATGCATGGAAAGCATTAAGTTTATAACACAAACTAGTTAGTTTCTGCGAGAAATTTTCATATGATAATTTTTGTAATTTTAAGCAAAAAATAAAACTAGATATTTTAATAGTAGATCTAATATTTTGTTAAATTGTCGAATTCTTGAATGCGTTCTAAATGTATTAGATCGTTCAGTAACATAATAAATGTGCGCTTACCTTGTCCCAAGTGTGATGCGCGTTCTCGAAATTGAATTTTATATGCATAGGTATTGTATACACATAAGTTTTGTATAGACAAAGGTTTTGTTTAGACATGGGTATTTCATTCTTCACAGTTACCACCCATCTCATTTCGGGTGCTAATAAGGAGAATAACAAAAAGCGATGAATACTTCTTGTTAATTTATTGTAGCTTGTACAATGTGTCATTGCTAATTAACTGACAGGTCATCGCAAACAAGGCTTTACATTAACATATTGTCAAAAGAGCTCCGCTCTCTCGCTGCTAATTTGAATACTTTTGTTCCAGACGCCAATAAACATTGACGTTAATGCTTTATGAAATATATCAAGTACTGTATGTTTGTTGTTCATCAATATCATCACCCTATATCAGTTTTCAATGAAGGTGTCTTTTTTCCATTATTTATGAATAATTAGACAGAGAAACTTTGGAATAAAAAAATATATTGAATCGAACAGTGTCTAATTGATAACTAATTGACCATTTGATTGGCATATCGAGATTGGACCGATAAATGAATACTGATATCTGTAGGTTACAACCTGGTATTCAAACTGTAAAGGAGTATGAAACAGACTAAGTAATTAAAACCATGATTTATTTTTTAAAAAAGACAAAAAAGAGATACTGAATAGAGAGATAAGTTTATGTCGAGAGAAAACAAACCGTCAGCAATAAAACTGCTTAAGCGAAAATAAGTAACATTACTGACATGTGAAATCTCATTTCAGTCTCAGTTCATTGATTTAAACAGTTTAATTACTTCATTGGTTTCGGTCATAAGGAGGAATCCTTCCCATATTTACTGTACAGCATTTAAAAAATAATGGAATTTTCAGGAAATTAAAATTGATCATGTTATCATAGAGAAAAGTAATACTTATAGTTTTACGGCATTTGATTATTTACGGGTCTTATTCAGCCTGTCATTATATTGACTTTAATACAAGTGATTTCTATTGAGATAACGAACAATATTCAAACTCATATGTTTTAGCACCCTCTGTCGACCGTTCACACTGTGTGCCCCTTTTCGTGATCGGGAAATGAATTTAAAAGAACATATTGGATTTGGTTATATTCATTTACGGTATTTCATGAACAAACATGAAAGAGTTCCTATACATGACAGCACCAAGTTTGGTCAAATCATTACTCTATAACTGCTGGGAGAGAGGTACATTCAGGATACGAAGGAAGAAGCTGAATGTAATACATATGGAATTTAAACATTGTACTTAAACAAGAGGCCCAGGGGCCACAGCGCTCACCTGAGCACATCAGCTAGGAAAAAGCACATATCATGATTTGGACAAACTTGAATCTACACTACTTGAGGATAATTCTACATAAATATTACTAATCATGGCTTTGAAGTACTTGAAAAGATTTTAAAAGGTTTCCCTATAGATTCCTATGAGAATAAATTTTTGGTCGGCCATTTTGGCCCCACCCTACCCCCGGGGGTCATGATTTGAACAAACTTGAACCTACACTACCTGAGGATAATTTCACATGAGTTTCATTTTTCCTGTCTAAATGGTTCTTGAGAAGAAGATTTTTCAAGATTTTTCCTATATACTCCTAGGTATAGCTTTGATCACCCATTTTGGCCCCACCCTACCCCCGGGGGTCATGATTTGAACAAATTTGAATCTACACTGAGGATGATTCCACATGAGTTTCATCTCTCCTGGTCCAGTGGTTCTTGAGAAGAAGATTTTTAAAGATTTTTCCTATATACTCCTATATAAAACTTTGATCGGCCATTTTGGCCCCACCCTACCCCAGGGGTTCATGCTTTAAACAAATTTGAATCTACACTATCTGAGAATGATTCCACTTGAGTTTCATCTTTCCTGGCCCAGTGGTTCTTGAGAAGAAGATTTTTATGGATTGTTCCTATATATTCCTATGTAAAACTTTGATTGGCCATTTTGGCCCCACCCTACCCCCTGGGGTCATGAGTTGAACAAATTTGAATCTACATTATCTGAGGATGATTCCACATGAGTTTCATCTTTCCTGGCCCATTGGTTCTTGAGAAGAAGATTTTTAAAAATTTTTCCAATATTTCCTAGGTAAAAATTTGATCAGCCATTTTGGCCCCACCCTACCCCAGGGGGTCATGATATGAACAAACCTGAATTTACACTACCTGAGGATGATTCCACATGAGTTTCATCTTTCCTGGCCCAGTGGTTCTTGAGAAGACGATTTTTTAAAAATGGCATTAATTTTTCTCAAATTCATAATTATCTCCCCTTGGAAAAAGGGCATGGCCCTTCATTTGAACAAATTTGAATTCCCTTTACCCAAGGATACTTTGTAGCAAGTTTGGTTGAAATTGGCCCAGTGGTTCTTGAGAACAAGATGAAAATGTGAAAAGTTTACGACGACAACGACAACAACGACACCGACGACAGACAACGGACAAATTTTGATCAGAAAAGCGCACTTGAGCCTTCGGCTCAGGTGAGCTAAAAAGAAAATCAATGAAATGTCACAATCAAAAAGGAAATGCATGTACTGTACATAATTCGTTTAATGTTAAGAAATAATTTAAAGATATCAGAATTTAAAATTCATTACTTTCCTTTTTGGTGTAAATTGGATTAAGAATTTATTTTTTGTTGGAACATGTATCTTTTTACTTTCAGGGGGACATAATGGGGTAAAATATTTCTATAAATCTTGCGTCATAATTGCAATCAATACCACATCAACGACAAATGTTGAATTTTCCTTTAATTACCCCTGAGGTACAAGATAAGGGTAAAGGCTATGTTAAAAAAAACAAGAATAGTAAGCAGATGAATATATAGGCATATAGAGGTGTCCCTAAAAACGTGAACTTTTTAAACATTTCAAATATTTTTCATCCAAAACTTATATTTTTTGAATGCCGTTGGAAAATGATCATTTTGCTATTTTGCAAAATTTTATAGAGCTGTGTTGACATATGCTTATAAAACAACATTCAAAGGGTTTTAGATATCGATGACTGACACACAATTTTTTGACTTTTTCAAAAAGTACTGTCAATGAAGTTTTCTTTGTCATTAGGATATACAGAAATATAATGTCACGAAAGTTATCTACAAAAAGTATCTATAATTTGGTGTATTCATGTTTAAAAATTAATTTACTTAACATTATTAATGACAAATAATTTAAATGAATATATGTGTCAAAACAATTGATATTATTGTCAAAAATGATGACGTTGGGAAATACGGAGCACCAAATTATCAGAAAGTTTTAAAGAAGCAAAGAAAATAGATATGAATTTGTTAGAAACTGCTAGAAACCACCATATTTTAGCAATGGTTGGGTGGTATATGACTCCTGAACATAGGGAAAGGAGATGCTATCGATGAGAAAAAAACCTATTAGTACCAGGGAAACAGGTTTATCTCTAGTTGAGGAGGTTTGAGATTGGTCTAATTTGTTATATTCTAAGTGAAACAAAAGATATTGAGATATTGAAAATGTTCGCATTTTTTGGGGGGACAACCCTCGTATTATCTTTAAAGTTTTAGAAGATATATATATCCAATTTATCATAATTTGCATTTAATTGATGTGAAATTACCATCTCCAAACCATCAAAATGTAAATACGAAATTAAAAAAACATTCAATTACTGAATAAAATAAATGAGAAAAAGAAATAAGAAATACGATTCTCTGAAACTTTCTCATGTAAAGTAGTATTCACCGTATCTTTCATCTTTCGCACTTTCGTTACAAATACAATCATTACTTGACTAATTGGAGTTACGTGTAGACTTTGAGTGTAAATACAACAAAACATAACGTCAGACACATTGAAAAGGAATGTATTCACCTAACAAACTTTTGCCCACATTCATTTAAGTATTGAATTCATATTTTTGGATGTCTCCGTCCTATAACACACCTGGCCGTGCCGACAAATTGAATAACACGCGTTAGCTTATATTTGCATTCTCTTATTTTCCTTCTTCGTAATTGCTTATATCGTTAATCTCAAATGTGAATTTATTGCCCTTCAAAACTGCCGTGGTTAATAAATGTAAGAGCTGATTGTGACGTCAAATGACGTTAAATGACGCTGCAAAGTTAAAAAACGCAAACAAACATTGCGAGGAAAAAAGTGACAAATTAATTTGAAATGTATATTACGTTAATGTTAACGTTTATTTTCAGGTTGATACTTTTGCATTAGATTGAAATAAAACATTTTACATTTTGGTGTTCCAATAGAGTATTGAAAATGCATATAGTTCCGACTGTGTATTCTAGCGCGCGGTGACAAGGTTTCGCGTGTGTTATAGAAATTTGAACGTCGTGGATTTCTAATGGATTTCATAAGGAAAATTACACTGAATGTAAATATTATACTAATAATGTTTGTTTCATAATTTTTTATTCATTACTAGAATCTCAAACCATTCAATGGGTTAAACAGATGGACAGATGGACAGAAAATGAGAATAATTTTCAAGTATTTACTTTCTTACTGCTAGCTTTGAATTTTGATTTACTATGCTGAAATTTTTAGCATGTATGCAAAAGTTGTTTCTATGACATGTGAAGGAAATTGTTGTTTACCGACGGTTTACTCTTCTTCTACTAACATAAAATATACCTAGAAAGTTTTATTATCAATTTTTTTTATATAATTATCTAAATTTTACATAAAGAAATGGCCAAAAAAATTAAAAGAAACAAGGAAAAAA